GATCTACAGTTATTCTTTTCCTTTTTTTTATCTTATTATAATCGGTTGGTTTTTGATTCACAAGCGTACAAATGCACTGTGTAATAGTTTTTATTAGATTGTAATGGTGTTCATTATTTTAATATTAACAAACAGCTTATATTTGCTTAATTAACACAATACAATTGGCTATTAGTCGTTAACTTGGTGTAAAATAGTAGTATAGAGTATTTAATCAAATTGATTTAATAATAAGTGTTTAGTTGCACAATTTTATTCTGTAGTTTAAATAATTGAGATCATTAGTTAATTGAAACTAGGCCACCATGGAAAACTTGGAATCACTGGACCGCCATTTCGTCATATTGTGAGACTCCTCAGCAGTGCACATTCAAGATCTCGCCTCACGAGCTTCAAACCCAGGATCTATCGGTCCCCTCTCTAATTATAATGCTCATTAGTGACTGTCTCCAAGAGGATTTCTTGGAGTTCTAATGAGAAGCCATGACCAGTGGAGTTCAATCGGGTCTGTTGTGAGACTATAACCCACCGAAGACAATGGTGGATGTGTTGCTTAATTTCATGGATTAGTTGAAGTTAGACCGTTGCGTACCGGCTCTGTGGTCTATAGTTTAAGCGATACTGGTACGTCCTTGTTTCGAGTGATCCCATGTGCGGGATCGTGGATGTGCACTGTTGAGGAGTCCCACAATAGCAAGAAACGGCAATCCAGGTTTCCCATGGTGGTCTAGCATCAGTTGACTCATGTTCTCAATTATTAAAATTACTATAATATCCACAAAACCCCTCTCTAATTATAATTTTGTTTTGTTCTGCTAAAAAAACTAATTTTTTCATTTTGGTTTTATGTATGTTAATGAATGGAAAGTTTATGCTACTTGTTATTTGACTAATTAAGAGTAAACTTTTATGAAATGAGTAATTTATCCTTTTTTTGTTATTATTATGTTGATCATAATAGATTGGTTATCTTTTTAATTCTTTAATTACTCTGTAAGAAAATACAATTTTATGTACTTGACTTTGAATTACACTGTTTTTCAGTCTTTGATAGATGAACAAGAGTATCTTAAATGCTGTTAGTGGTATGGAGGAAGGGAAGTTATCACTTCGCTTTCGCTCATTGTTTATGTGAGGGCTACTAATATACATGGCTGTTCAAATTAATGTAGGTGGTATGAGGTTTAAAATCAAGATTTAAGCTTTGAAAACCGAATAGTTGAACTACCAGCAGATTGCCAATGTACTATTGAAGTACATATATACTGTACAATATAAGTGGTAATCAATGAGCAGTTTAGAACTTACTTAATTAGGTGTAGTGATTATAGAATAAACGTTTTGTGTAGGGTCCTTTAGAAAAGTGTAGTGTGTAGAGCTGATCACAATTGTTAACACTGTTCTGATTATTACATTTTGGACAATCGGTTGATGTTGCTGATGTATGATCAAGTGTCAGTACACACACCTTTAATTAGTTTGGTTGGAGGTTGGAGAAATCAGACGATTCATTTCTATTTTTCAACTATCATAATTTAAATCATAAACTGATTTTAGCTAAACCATAATTAGGAACCTAGAAGTACTAGATGGCCGTTTCATCCTGGTGTGGGAATCCTCATCAGTTCACTGATATCACTGCTACTTTAGAACGTTGTCCTTTTGAATAGTTTTGATTATTGTTATTTATATAAAATGCCCTAATTAATGTTTAATAACAAGTTATAAAAACATGATTGATTGCTCTTCAGTTTATACTATTTGACGTGCTCCATATCTCAATTTCTACAGCGGACTTATGAAATCGACCTATTTTCTTTCAAATAAGTGACACAGTGAACAAGTCAAACATCGCCCGAATAATAAGGCCAGGCTATTGACATTGCTTCCTTTTCTAAGGAAAGCGATACCAGTATTTGATCATGTGGCTTAAGTTTCTAAGGGATATATATATTGATGTTAGGTGTACATTTTTGTTTCTTTTATTTATTTCTTTATTTATACATAAACATTCGTGCAAAGACGTACATATATACGCTACACAAAGTATCGCTAAGTGCATGTGTGGACAGTGTTACTGTCTGGGTGCCCAAAATGAAGCGGGTGGTATACTTTTAGGATCACTCCTCGAGCCTTTGATCCAATGGACTAATCCACAGCTCAGTAAAGCGCCGTTAGCAGATGCGGTCATATGGTAGCCAGTGATCAACAATAAGGTAATACACTATTTGTGACCCCATGATCTTGGAGCCCATATGGATCATTGGTTTTGAACCAGGGTTTTCCAACTTAAATAGATGCTCCGCAGCCGCCAACCTGGTTTAGGCGCCGAACATCCGCTTTTTGTCCTGATTTTCGCAAACAATACCCTCACCTCATGAAGGTGGAAATTAGGACTCCAATGTTTCTGAAGTGCCTAACACGCAGTACAACCTTAACTCACTATTATGAGTCGCATAAATATCTCTCGATTTTGTCTAATCATAAATCTTTTTTATCCTAGCATATGCAACTAGTTGATTTTGCGTATTGAATACTTGTGTAACAGTATCATAATCGAACTAATCAGATGACATTAAGTTGTTAGATTGTTATCAAAAAACATATCTTCAGCTGTTCTGTTTGTTATCTGTTTTCTTTTTTACGGCTTCAATTGATTTGCCAAATTATTTATAAATAGTTTATTATGTTGTTTTATGTTGTTAGATTTATCCAAATTCACAAAATGACAAGGTCTTAGTCTAACTAGATATTTTATTGCGATTCTCGATTAACATGCATATTGTAATGAATGTCAGTGAAATATCATAATCATTATGTTAGTTAAGGCATTGGTTATTCAGAAATTTTACTGTTTGTGACGTCTTTACAACTTCTACATTGATGGATACCGATTTCCTGGTTAAGTTCTGTGGGACAACGTTATCGGTAGTTGAAGAGATTTGGTTATGCTAATGGAAATCAGTTACGGTATTACATGTGGATTTACCTTTTATCTTGTTCCATAATTTGTGCTTCAATATTTCTGTATACATTCCATCTCATTCTGCTTTTTGTACTGTGTTCTTAAGATTTAGTGTTTTTGATCATCATTGCAACTAGGAGTATTTCAACTTCTTTACCATTCAATTTAATTTCATCCAGTTTTTGTGACATGGTGTCGTAACTTACAGTGTGGTATGAATGTCTGTTAATGTGTGTTATGACTAACTGATTGAACTGTAACGTTAAATAGTTCTGGAAGAAGGTATGGGCTTTAAGGTTGCGTATACATCCGCGTTGTCGAAATACGATAACGGGAACTGAGACAAAACACCTCAAAAAATAAGCCATTAACACAAGAAGAATACAAAGTACAAAGCACTGGTAATTAGCATTACCAGTATTATTAGCTAAATTCAATTTCGTTTTTTGTGATTGCTATCCTTGTTTTCGCTAAAATTATTTGATCATTTATGGATTCATACGATAAATAGAAAAAAAACTAATTAAGATTATCAACCGATCAATGTTAGACCACATTTTAAAATCTGGAAGCACTGAACGGACGTTTCTTCCAAGCATGGGACTACTCAGCAGTGCGCGTCCACGATGTCGCACACGGGATTCGACAACTCAGGACCTTCGGTCTCGTGCGAAATTTATTAACCTCCAATTCAACAATTTCCCCAACCACACACTGATTACTATCATATGTTCTTTAGGTACTTGATCCAAGAGGAAATTCCCGAAGTTCCAGTGAGAATCCGTGACCAGTGCTGGTCAACGATGTCGGGCGTGAGGTAGTCGTCCACCAAAGACAGTGGGAGATTGCTGCGCCATATCGTGGATTGGCTGAAGTTAAATACTAATATCGATAGATTCAGGCTCAGTGGTCTCGAGGTTAAGCGTTCACGCGCAAGACTGTAGGTCTTGGATTCGAATCCCATGCACTTCTGAAAACTCCCATACTAGGACGAATTGACCATCCACTGTTTTCAGTGGTGGTCTAACATTGATCCGTTCATGATCTCAATCAAAAACATAAAAATCTCTACAACCTTATACTGACAAAATTAATCGTATACTATAGCTTTGTTTCGTTCCTGATAATATGGTTGTTACGCTTTTTTTCCTATGCTATATTGCAGAATTTTCTTTCCGTTTTGTTATTCTAATTTATTCTTATATGCATGTTCTAATATCATTTCGCAAGTTTTGGATTTGTTTCTTTACAAAATTTGGTTTATTAAATGATCCATTCACATTAAATGTACTGATTTGTGTATATTGATTGGAATCCTTGTTGGTGTGTTGTTTTCCCAATGAATATTAATAGTAGACATGGTAACGTTTACCATTTTAGTGGAATACTAGTTAAGTGATTTACAGTTAACTCCCAACTAATCCTTAAGTAACATTTTGCATTTAGAAGGATATACTTAGAAAGTAATCTCATCAGTGCTTGCATTGTTTTTTCATAGTTATCATAAGGATTTGAATATTGTTAGCATCTTCAGATACAACTACACTGTCTACGTCTTCTAAGTTAGAAAGTGAATCTCCTGTTGAAAGTTCAATTACGGAAAAAGTTAGACGTAAGCGTTATTTGTAAAATCATGTTTAAGAACGGTGATTGTGCGCAACGTTGACAAACATCACTTGTTGTTATCGATTCAGATAACATTAATTTTTTTGAACACATAAATATTGGTACATATGCGCCACTTAAGTCACTTCATTTGTGTGTATGTTGTGATGCTGCCCGAGTGCCCAGATCGAAGCAGGTGGTTTTTTTTAGGGGACAACACCCGGAGCCTTCGACCTAAAGGTCTGATCCACAAGACAGTGGAGCAAAGTCAGGAGATGCAGTCCCATGGTAGTCGGTGACCAACTATCGGTTCATACATCATTTGTTGCTTCAGGATCCTGGAGTTCATGTGCACCATTGGTTCGGAACGAGGTTTTTCCAACTCCCCTTGGTAAACTCTCCGTCTCCATCAACTTGGGTAAAGCCACGGACATTCACTTTTCGTCCTCTCAATGTCGTAAACAACACTCGCGCTACAAGACAATGAGTAGGACTCCCCTGTCAGTGACCGGTATGTGAGAGTATTTTGAGAAGGGTAGCTGACCCTATCCACCCTCCGTCGTACTAGGACATTTGTGGGCAATTCCAATAACAGTTCACCACAAGCTCTGACTTGATCAGTTGTATTGATGTAAGTGGTCTTCAGAAGCGTTATTTACTTATCCACCACTCAACGCAAAATAAACCTTAGCTAGTCATTAACCTTTGATCTAAGTTAAATAAAATCTTTCGTTCTATTTATCTATAACTTACATTCATGTCGTTTAATAAAAATGTACCTGTGAATTCTATTTTAATTAATTGAATATTCATAAAAGTTATATCTATATATATATTTTGACTTAGGCCATTGTCTGTAGCATATCTCCCACGTATTCGGTACGTTCATTGAATAACTTTTTTTTTTCAAAGTGCTTCCAATCCTTTCCTTCTTATACTCTTACAAATATTTCTTTATCACTTGTAATGATTATTTCATCATATAACTAATTAAAGTCTAATAATTGTTCATTACTTTCTACCAGCTCTTTACTATTCACCTGTTAATATTATTCTCTGTAACTCATCATTTGTTTTCTGGTGTTCTATGTCTTTATATTCTTTGTACGATAAATAGTAAATGTTTAAGCTCATTGAACTTATTCAGATGAATATCCGGTAATTTTCAATCTTGTAAATTATATTCCTAACAGATTAATCTAAATTGAAAGTGTTAAAAATAAAGAAGCACTGAACAGAAATAATATCTACTTACAAGTTCAACGGAAATCTGTCTCAAACCGTCACGTCCTTTGGCAAGTGTATATAACCTTCAAAACCAATAGATCATGGTTGCGTACTTCTGAGGAGTACATTACTAGAACGAAACAGATGTCTATTGCTCGTTGGTTTTCTGTAGTGGATGAAATCAAATTTGTATATGACAAATACTACTTATGAATAAAAATTCTCTCCTTAAAACTGTTATGACTTATAGCCTCTGTGTAAATTCGCGTGAATAGTAAAACACCAATCAGAATCCGTTCAGCATAGATAACCCTGAGTCAACGCTCATTTCCTATTGGTCCACCAATCTCTAACTTCTCTCCGCCTTGCGTTTAAGTCCAGAAATCAGTAAGCAGCCTCCACCAAATATGTATTTCAGAATGATGTAATTTATATAATAGCAGACCTAACCGCATCACAACATTAAAAAAACAACTTAAAAATAGTAAGTGTACATGATCTAGCCAAAATAACTGAATAAGAGAGACCGTGAGTAATAAACTAGCAACAAATTAAAAATAGTAAATTATACAACAATAATTATTGTGGTTTATCATGATCTTATGATAAAAGGGTATATAAATGCATTGTTACCTAATAACTATACAATAAGAATAGTTCATTGATTAGTCTTAACATTTATCATTCCTTTTAATCTTCTTTGGAATATAACAAAAACTCCTTCAAATCATATGATTGTTCTTTCTTTTTAATTTTATTTTATAACTTTATACTTAATGGTGCTTGATTATTTCATATTTAACTCCTTTTACTAACAAAAACTTACTACTTGTTTGCATGTTAACTAAAAGTAATAGATCATATCAAACAAATCAGCATCATATGGGTGTGTGTGTGTGCAAGTGTTTAATAATGAATTATATATTGTAGTTACTTTTTATACTCTAGTCTCCAATATCAACAATCTTTCATTGTATATGTTAAATCTTCTTATGTCGTTTGATCTAAATGATCAATTATTATTTTTAAACTTTCTTGTTGACTAGATGAAATGTGTTCACATATATCTGTAAGGGCCCCCAAGTGCCCTGGTACGACCGAGAGTAGGGAGAGTCCGCTCCCCCTCTCAATATGCTCTCGCGTATACAGCCTCTGCCAGGGAAGTCCTAATCACTGCCTTCTCGTGGTGGGGTTGTTGTCTACGAAAATGAGAGGACGAAAAGCGAATGTCCGGCACTTTAACCGGATTCCAAACCAATGGTATACATGGGCTCCAGTATCCTGCGGGAACAAATGGTGTATGAACCATTTGTTGGTCACCGGCTAACATGGGACTGCATCTCCTTACGATGCTCTACTGCCTTGTGGATCAGACCTTCAGGTCGAAGGCTCGGGGTGTGGCCCCTGAGAAAACCACCTGCTTCGATTTGGGCACTCGGGCAGTATCACAGCCTTCACACATATCGAATGAAATGTGTGTGGCGCATATGTATTTGGTGTCTCCTTATACCAATATCTATGTGTTAAAATAAATAAATAAATAAATATCTGTAAGTATTCATTCTAACTGATTGGGACCAGGATCAAATACTTACTTATCTATGCCTGTTATCCACAATGGAGCATGGGGCACCAACCAGCATTCTCCAACGCAATCTGTTCTGAGCCTTCCTTTCTAGTTCTATCCAATTGTTCTTCATTCTTCTCATGTTTGTTTCCATCTCTCGGCTCAGTATTTTCTTCGGTCTTCCTCTTCTCCTTTGGCATGTGAGTAGGATTTCCCTGTCAATAGTCGCATACACGTGGCCATATGAGAACATTTGGAAGAGGGAGAGTTGACTCTTCCCACTTTCAGCCGTACCAGGGCATTGGGGGGCTCAATCGTAGTCCTAAATATCAATGTCAAAATTCAAGTGAATTTAAACTTTATCCCATTCCAAAAGCAAGACTCAGTAGGTAGGTGGATAACAGGATGTCGTTTCATGAGAACAGAACTGGGTCCGAGTCTGAAAGTGAACAACAACTATGAGATGCGAATACATCCAGCTAATGAGTCCCAAATAAGACGAAACGCGCATACTGGGTACTACTGGTAGCCACTATACATCTTTGCTTATTATGTACTTAGGTTTTTAGTCATTGTTTTATTGTTAACTTAACAAAATGAAATCATATTATTATTACTCTTTTTTAATGAGGTTTTATATTACGTACAATATTCTTGTCAGTTTCATGTGTATACGAGTTAAAGTTCTTCCATATGAAATATATTGCTTAATATAAATTAATCATGTTTCACCTTCAGAATATCTTTGTTTTTCATAATAATTATTCGTTGTTTTTAGTGTTAAGTAGTTGATAACGAGAGACAAGTGATTGTTTATTGATCTAAGTTTGATGTTAGTTGACACGAGTTAGTAACAGCATATTGTCATGCTTAAATGATATAATACTTTTTTTATAACAGTCATTAATGTTGCCACTTGGACTCATATATATTTACACTTTTCAATTATTCAGTAGTAACCAATATCATCTTTCTCTAATCCTTACATCTAATAGTGTTTTATCGTTCAACACTAAGTGTGTAAATTACTGATTAGAAGTTGATTATTTAATTTTTCCTTGTAAAAGCTCATCTAATTTTAGCAATCATATCACATTCTTTTATTTTACTGAACATTTCATTTCTCTGAATGAGTAGCCTTTTAAGAAATCTGCTTGCCTCGTTTCGGGTACATACACAAATTCAACGATTTGTGTGGCGCATATGTATTAGTGCCCCTTTGTACCAAAGTTTGTGTCTAAATAAACAAAATAAAATTTAGTGTTCTGTTGCTACTTTTTTTTCTTTTTATTTCTAATTATCAGTATCCAATCAAAGTTAGATAACTGTTGTAACCGTGGAAGCACTATATGGCCATTTTTCATAGTATTGGCTATCCATACTCCTTAAAACAGGAACTGAACCCATAACCTCCGATCTCGCGCGCGAACACTTGACCTCTAGATGCGCACTACTCAGAAATACCTTACGAGGACGAAAAGGTCGTCTAATGCCTCTAGGTTTCCAATAGCTGCCTAGCTTTGATTGGTTCACAATTCCAATGGAATTCTAATTAATTTAGCTCTGGAATACCACTAGCTATAAACCAGCTTTTTGTAATACAAACTTTTGAGATCTGCTTATGAGCTTTTTTGCTTTGTTTGAACTTTGTCACTCTATTTCGTTTTTTTTTCCTTATTCAACTAGACAAAAATAGTTCAGAGATTACAAATAGGTCATTCGTGTGGTTAATACATCAATTAATTGGATAAAAATACTATTCTAGTCTTTTTATAGCTCAAGAATATTAAAAATATGCTTTCCGTCTAAGTAAACTAAAGATTCTGATTTTATTTATCATCGGTAGCTATAAGTTGAACTATGTGTCGAAGTTATAATTTATCATGCCTGTTGATTAAATGGATAATTTGTAGTTCACACTGCGGATTGACTTCAGACAGACAGCCTTTGAAACCTTAGGGAGAGGAGTGCCGAATAGTCGTTTCGTGCTGTTTAGGTGAGGCTCCTTAGGAGTGTACACCTACGGCCCGTCGAACTGTTAAATCTTGTGCGGAGCTATAAAATTGATATCCAATAATCCATATTTCTTCTGTAATGGATTGGCAATATTTTCCATTGGTGATACAGTTTTTGCACTACCATTGTATATCACTTCAAGGAGACCTAAAGTTTATACGTTCTCTTCCTGATAAGTTCGTATTTGTGAATTGTCAAAGATCTTCATACTTAGACGATTCCTTTGTTTAGTTACTCCTTAGTTTTCAGTTTATGATATAAGCTTTCTACAGATTAATCAATCTTCATAGATTGTTCTATTCTAATTATAAATAATTAATTATCTGTCATTATCATTATTAATAATTTCTAGAGATGTCAATTTGATGTATTTAAATGCTGTCTATTGCCTTGGTCACATGGGTGTTGTACTAGCACAAATGCCACATACACAAGAATTAATTTTACAATTTCTCCAACAAAATTTAAATCCAGCTAAACTGTTACCTCAATTAGAAATTAAATCAATGGAACAATTAGGTTGTATGGTGATTGGTGGATCGGTAAGTATAAATAAATTGTTTAATTGTTATCTTTACTTTTTCTCTACACATATATTTTACTCGATTGAATTCTAATGTACATAAATCGAAAGTATGCCGTTTATCCGTTTGATCTAGATAGAAATTTATAGGCTCTGACTTTGAATAGATGTGTATCATCGACTTCCTCTAGTAATGTGGTTAGTTAATAAGTCTCTCTCTACCTTTTGACATTGAAGTGGCCCGGGCCTATAACTTGTTTATTACTATCTCAACATATCGTCTGTCTACTTCATTTATTATTTAAACTTGTAAATGACCTATCATCTTGTCAATTTTGTTTATGTAACAATCATTATATCAGAAGGTGTTGAATATTACAAGAGTGACTTCATTTCTTTCACAATAAAACATACCATTCATGGAGATTATAAAATCAAGCCGTAGTTATTATCTCTGTTGATTTACATTTTGAGTCATGGAGTTAGTTCACATTTAAAAATTCATCCATGTAGTCAAAATGAATCATTAAATTATATTGGATAACTCATAAGTATTCATCATCCCATGCGGTTATAACCTTCGCTAACTATAGTTTAACGTTTTCGAGCTAATCTCAGTGTTAACAATTAGCGTTTAGTCTTCGAAATTATGGAGACATAATGCGTCATACACATTAAAATTTCAGAAGTGATATGACTGAGAATAAGTAAGTCTGATAATCAGACTGTTGTAACGCGTGTGACTGCAGGTTTTGATAAGCAGCGTATTTATCGATCGCCTCTGTGACAGTGGACACGGAAACACGTATGAACGACCTAGTGCCTGATTGGTCCCGCTTCGCTGTCTGTCCCAGCCAGTTGAGTGAAGAACGCAAGTCACAGCCTCTGAGTTATGAATCGTTGTATTTCAGACATACTTTGTTTATATACAATCAAGCACACCACATCGTACCATAAATAGGAAACAACATTTACAAAATATTTAACAAGTGAAATAAACATCGACCAATAAGAAATTTACATTTAAGTCCAAGGACACCATAGACTTAACACGATAATATTGGTATATTTTCCGACTATCCTAACACAGACCTCAGTCAGTTAGCTACAACGTAGGACCAGACACATATATGCATCGGTCCAAGTTTCCACACCTTATTAGCACAACAAGATGAACATCAAATTAATGGAAGTAGTTACTTCAACGGTAGTAGTATATAAAGCTAACGGTACTGGTTTCATTTCCGTGAGTGGATATCAACTCTGGGATTCAGGTGCATCCAGCTGATGAGTCCTAAATCGGACTAAATACTCATCCTGAATACTACCGCATCACGGAGTTGATGTTCACTCCTGAACTTGAACCGAAAGTTAGCAACCATGGATCTCTGCTTAAAATGTTTGCGACTTCAAGGCAATATTGAAGCAGTCCATACAAGATTCACATATTCCAAGGAGAGTTATCAATTAAAGTTCTAAAGATCGTTGAGAAGATTCAATCAACCAATATATGCGAATTAGATACATAACCGCCGTTGCAAAATTTTGTATGATAAGTCTAGAATAACTGGAATTGTATGTGACTGATAAGAAAGCACATTACACATAACTAGACTCTCAAATAGGTGAATCGTCAATGGAATTAATTTCTTTTTCGAATTAGTAACCCTAAACTGGGTAAATAGAATACTGTGTTGATATGATGAACTGTTGAAAAGTTTAGTAATATAAATTGTTGGGGAGATCCAGAGTATCCATCTCAAAGAGTCCATAGGGGTCATAAAAACTTTGGGAAATATTTCATCGAATCATCATTGGATAAAAGTTTCGCCGAAACATCTAGAAAGTCAGGAGTCACGTGTCACATTTTTGACTGGATGATTATCTATCTTGCTACTATGTTTAGAAGGGTACTGGAACCTTCCGGAAGCCCAGAACCATCTGAAATACTATAATTGCCCTCGATTTCTGTACACAGACTAACCCTAGAGTATAGCGTCCATTTCACATTTCGCATCTTTTCTATCGTGTAGATTTAGCCTGGGGTTACTAAAATTGCTTAAGGAACCGATTCAAGTTTTTAGTCAGAAGATTTATCATAAATAAACATAGTAAGAATTAAGCTGAATTCATCAGTGTTAAAAAATGTCAACAAAATGAGGTCTGCGTAGCTTTGATAACTATTCTTTGGTGAATTGGTGAAAAGACTTTTCAAAATAAGATTTCATTTAACAGTTGAATTATATATTATTTTGAATGACATTAGTTTGTTAAGAACTGCCCGTAAATCGATGCTACTTCAACGATATACATATCTGAGTGTTTGGAATAGAAATATTTAACTTTAAGCTGAGCTTGATTCCATAGGACAACGGGTTTTATTATCGGTGCCTGTTGTTAAAAAACGTATTTAAATGCAGAATCTTTTAAACTCTTTAAGTAATAATGAGAGAATGCTATGCTAAAACAGCTCATCACATGTTACACATCCCACTTCTTTCCAGTCATTCAAACTGAATGATTAATTACTCATGATAAAGTTATGTATTGCATATGCCTAACTGTTACCGTCTACCTCGGAAGTAGGTTACCAAAATTTGTGAGAGGCTAAAGCAAGATGTAGATGAAGTTACTGATAGTTGAACTGGGCCATGTAAATTGATGTAGAGTACCTGGTTGGGTTCCACGCGATTATCTTAACAAATGGTTAGAGATTGCATGACCTGTCTCAGAACCGTTCTTATAACTTGAGTCCTAAAATCTCATGATAACTGTATTTTTTCTTTTTCTTTACCTTACTGTTTCTGCTACTACTAATACTGTTATCACCTTCATTACTTTGGAATTTGTCTTGTTAATTTTATTGCATTGTGCTAATGCTGTGTGATAAATCAAACTCATTGACATCTTTGTCAAACTTATGAATAACAGAAAAGGGTTTTGTGGATAATATAATAATTTAATAGTTGAGATCATGAATCAATTGAAGCTAGACCACTATGGGAAACGTGGAAGATGGCTGTTTCGTCCTATTATGGGACTCATCAGCAGTGCGCATCCGAGTGATTGTATGAATTTTGATAAATCAAAGTGTTTTTTTTTAAAAAGCAGATTAATTAAAATAATAATTCATAACAACGGTTTATTTTTACTTATATTTATGTTCTAGTCAATTGTTTATGATCAAATTATGGATATACTAACTGCAATTCGTGTTCGTAGTACCCGTGAAATGGCTTTAAATCCACAAATGAAAAACTCTAGATTAAGGTTAGTTGAATTTTATGCATATAATTATTTCAGATTGTAAATAATTAACGTTGTCATTCACTGTTGAAGTCAATTAGCAAACCTACGATTAAGTTCATTGAGTATTGTCTATTGTCATTTTTTAGTCCTTCAATGCTGACGTAATTCTATCGATCAAGTTTATTATACTTAATCGCCCAAATGCCCTGGTACGGTCGAGGGTTAGGGGGGGGTCATTTCTTCCTCTCCAAACGCTCTCACATGACCACGCGTATACAGCCACAATCAGGGAAATCCTACTCACTGCCTTCTCACGGTGGTGGCGGTTTTGTTTACTAAATTGAGAGGATGAGAAGCGAATATCCGGTACCAACCAAGTCGGTGGATATGTAGAATCCAACTAGAGGAGTTAGAAAACCGCAATTCCAAACCGTGATCCTCATGGGCTCCAAGATCGTGTGGGAAAGAGTGACGTAATAACTTATTGTTTATCACTGGCAACTATGGGATTGTATCTCATTACGTTGCTCCACTGCCTTATGGATCAGGTCTCTGAATGAAAGGTTTAAAGAGTATTAGCCTTCTAAGGAATTCACCTGCTTAATTTTGGGCACTCGGACAGTATTCCAGCCCTCACACAAATCGAATGATTTGTGTAGCGCATATATATTTTGGTGTTATTTTGTACCAATGTTTGTGCTTAAATAATAAATTATTATGCTTAACTAATTAGCTAGTGTTCAACGATATGTGTATAGAACTTTAACACGTACTTCTGTCCCTTTACAATTGGAACACAATGTTCAGTTATGATAAGACTGTGTTATGTTTTTTGGTGATTGATGACTAACTAACTAGCATTCATGTGCCAGTTACAGATTCATGTACATAACTTCGAGTCATATCGTATGGTTGAGAGCTAATAATACTCTCTGGTTGTCTGGATCGAATTAGTTCGAGTCGCCTAACCACTGGGTCATACCATTTTGCATTGAATTTCAATAAAATGATTTGTTTTATGTTGAAATCCATTGCTGCTAATATTATTTTATTTATACACTATAATTTTGGTTAGTAGTTAACAATAGAATTCAGTGTATGTGTTTCATCTTATTTGAAACTTGTCAACTGATTATTCCTACTGAAACTTGAACCTGACATCTCTGACTTAAATACTATCTAGTTATTCACTTAACTTCTAAATCATGATACTCAGCAACTTGTTATATAGGTATGAGATTTTTTATTCCCCTTTAGAGTTCATGTTTTTCTGAATTAACTAATTTCTGTTGGATTCTTGTAGAGTTACAAATCAGTTTCAATGCCATAATCAATAGTGAAATTTAGGTGAAGTGAGACACAACAAAAGTGAAGTGTGTTAATCTATGATTCTATTTCTAACTTCTGTTCAAATAATCAAATCAACTAGTTGTTACAAGTAATATCCGTATATGAGTTCATCAATGAACCCGTATACAGACAGACAGAGACTGATCAGATTCAATTCACGAAGTTACAAACGTTTTATTATTTACTTACACCTGTTACATCACATGGAGGAGCATAGACCACCCATCAGGATTATCCATCTGACCCTGTCCTGGGCAATTCTTTCTAGTTATTTCCAGTTTTTATTCATCCTTTCATGTCTGCTTCCATTTCTTCGGCCTTCATCTCCCCCTTCAGGATTCCAAATTAGTGCTCGCTTCGTGATGCAGTTTTATGAGCTACGCAATGTATGTCCTATCCACTTTCAAAGTATTTTCCTAATTTCCTCTTCAGATGGAAGCTGAATTGTTATCTCCCACAGTATTTTGTTGCTGATGGTGTTCGGCCAACGGACATTGAGTATCTGGCGTAGACAATTGTTTATAAATACTTATACCTTTTGATGATAGTTTAGTAGTAGTAGTAGTAGTTTCAGCTCTGTACAGTTGAACTGTCTTGGCGTTCGTGTTGAAGATTTCTACTTTGGTATTGGTTGACAGTTGTTTTGAGTTCTATATGTTTTTCAATTGTAGGAATTCGGCCCTTGGTTTGCCGATCCCTACATTTACGTCTGCATCATATTATCTTTCTTTCTTTATGATACTATCCAGGTAGGTACGTGAAAGTTTCCAGCGTTTCTCCATCATGTGCTTGAGTTGTTCTTCGTGTTGTATTTCACGATGTTTATGTTTCTCTTGTGTATGTCGAGGCCTACTGATGCAGTCGAATTTATTACTCTTGGCCTCTCTTTCTTTATCTTCTTATTTCCATTTTTATGTATATTTAATCGTTTCTTTATTTCGATTTTGTCTTGTTTTATAGACAGTTATCCGAAGCTATGATTAATGTGTTTGCTAATATATCAACTTTTGTTCAAGGTCAACCGAAACTGTACAAATTATTACATCGTCTTTTGGAGCATTATGTTCATGTTGATATGGAATTAGATCAAGACTCGAAATCGACCAGTATTCTTGTAAGTTGGATTTGTTTGTTTATACGGGAATTATTTCTACTGTGTTTAAAGTTGTCCTACTTTTAATCACAAAATGACAGGTTTGACATTCATTTCATGCATCACCTTTTATCATTAGTTTTTCACATATACAGTACAACTGAAAACCGTGTACGTACATCTGTACTTAATGAATTCTTTTCTTAACGTTACTACCACCTTGACGTGGTGGTCGGGCTTGCCTATCGTGCTGAACCAATCGGGCTATACTGGCTAAAACAATCGTTCCTCAAGATCTTACCATGCCAGATAGATCGGTTGAAGAACGGTTGGACTAAGAGCAGCAAATCCGAAGTTCGAGGACGAGGTCGTACTGCTGACTGTACAGTGGTGTGACGGTAGTTAAGTGTTTCACTCAGGCCAACCGTTATAGCAGTGATGCTGCATTCCCACAAAGGAAGGGCGACGTTAGAAAAGGTCGACCCTAAAAATGTACACCACTTCTCATCCCACGAATTTCCCTCTTCGTTGGTGAAATTTCAACCAGTACAGAGCTAACACAGAAAGTCGCGTGTCACCGGCCTGAAGTAGATGTCCCTTGGACACTGCGGTCACTAACACCAACTCTTATCCAATCTCCTTTTCAGGCACCACTAGAATAACCCTTCCACAGTGCGGGAAACCAAGAAGAGATAACAACCCTTATACCTCTAACAGCACTCAAGACTGACTGACAATACTACTATTCGCTTTATTTATTAAGTATTATTTGATTTTTTTAAAACGAAGTATATGTGAAGAACGTTTCTCTCGACAATGTTGTAACTTATTAATGCTGTAAAGTCGTGACCAGAATTATTCAAAATTTAGGCTGTTTATTCATTTTCATTCTCAGTTTTTATAGCTAGGCAGTGGTGTAATAATGAAATCTACTTTCATATGACATCCATTGTGTAACTTTGCAACGTTGCTTTACATAATAACAGATAAATCAATAGATACATATTCAGATATTTTCAAAGGAGTCAGTTCACTCTTGACATTCAAAGATTCGTCATCAAAAAGAGAATTTAACCCTAAACGTCATCTGTTGCTATCCAACTGTTGAATTTTGTATATTGTCATTTTGAGGTTGGCTTTCAGCACAGAACTGTATCATCTTCGTTTTTTTCAACGAAAAGATCTATCTTTTTTGTTGGAGATACATCTTCAATAAACGACTTAACTGAAGCGTTCTTTATTTTCCTCCTGGCTCCAATCAAATTACTCAACATTCATTAGTTTTCTCTATCTAAGAGTTATAAACCTTGTCATATGTTCAATATATTATGTTTTATCCTACTGTGTATAGTCTCTGTCAGCTTCAAAATATTTTTTGCTCCTTTTTCATGTGAATTACTTCGTTTGTATTGCATCTGCTGTCCTACGGCGTATTAGTAATTGTTTAGGGAACTTTCTATAAATTGTTGCAATTTTCCATTCTTTCCGATTATCTATAACCTCAGATAAGATTACTGATCGTTTTTTAATCTTGTAAATGCTTATCACCTGTTGTCGGCACTTTATTTCCAAATGTAGACAATAGCAGCTCATGGTCTTGGACAACTTATTCCTGTGATTGCAATCGTAAGTTGATTACGTAATGTTTCTGCTTATTTGCTTTATACTTTATGTATATTACAGGATGGATGTGTATATATGTATGTATTTGTCAGTGAACTATCCACAATTATTTTCGATCACCTTGAGTCTTAATCAATACAGATCGATCAATTAATGACTTGCAAACAATTAGACAGGACAGGATTTTCATTATTAATAAGTAGGACTGTGTATGTTAAACTAGTGCTCTATTCTAGATAATTAAACCAATTAAAAATATAATATTATTTTATTTAATGGAAACAAGTAAGGAAGGTGTAACACCCACCATCATACACAAAGTGTCATTGGAACTCCCAAGGCATATATTATAACCATTAAGTATATGAAGTAGAGTAATTAACGATTTGGATTTTCCAATCCATTTTTCATATCCTTTACTTCCCACAGACGACAACTGGGTTCTAATCCTGCCTGCGGAATCGTGTATAAGCACTGTTGAGAAGTCGCATATTAAGACAAAACAGTTGTTTATGTTTTCAATGGTAGTTCAACATTGATCGGTTTATGATCTCAATTACAAACTCAATAATCTTCTGATCATATTGTTGTTATTGGTATTTTATTTATTTATTTCTCAATGTTTAGTTATTAAAACGTTTAACACCAATACAAAATCCAAATCAACGTTTACAAAAATTATTTCGAGAATTTTGGTTATCTGTTACAGTGATGGGATTTGCTGATCCAAATTCAAGTTAGTTAATTCATTTTAGATAAGATGAATTGCTAATGTTCATTATGTGTGAATTGGGATGTTTTTTTATTTGTTTTATAGTTAAATAGTTTTATGGTAAGAGTTTTACTTTATTCGTTTAGAGCCTAGCACTAATGTGCATCGACTCAAGTTGTCATAATAATCAGGAACAGTATGATTTGAAAAGACTAAATGACATTTTAAACATAAAAGAATACCAGAAGGGGTTTTGTAAAGATTGTAGTAATTTCAACAGTTGAGATCATGAGTCAATTGAAGCTAGACCACCATGGAAAACCTGGAAGCACTGGACGGCCGTTTCGTCCTATTATGGGACTCCTCGGCAGTCCGCATCCACAACCCGACCTAGCGGATTCGAATCCAGGACCTATCAGTCTCACGTGCGAGCGCTTAACCAACTAGACCACTGAGCCGGCCGGTATCCAACGGTGTTAATGTTTAACTTCAACTAATCCACGAAATTGAGCGACACATCCACCATTGTCATCAGTGAGTTACTACCTCACAACTGACCCAGTTGAACTCCACTGGTCACTGCTTCTCACTAGAACTCCAGGATATATATCTTGAAGCCAGTCACTAGTGAGCATATGTTGGTTAGTATCAGGTGCACACTGCTGAGGAGTCCCACAATATGACGAAATGGCGGTCCAGTGCTTCCAGGTTTTCCATGGTGGTTTAGCTCAATTGACTCGTGATCTCAAATGTTGAAATAAAAGAATACGTGAACTTAAAATCTAGATTGAGATAGAGAGTTGATTCATTTATACGATTGCAACCAATCTTTAGTCATGCGTTTCAATATCTCTAACTATGATTTACTATAGTTATACAGTTTGCATCTATTAGGATTGCTTTGTTCAGTAGTCTATGACTTTACGGACTAATTCCATCTGTTCACTTCTGTATTTCTTTTAACCTACTCCTAAAATCATTGGTTGTGGTATCCAGCGGTTGGTTACCACCAATATATATTCCAACCATTTCAATTGATGTTGATTTACAAACTTATCCATCAATTTGTCAATAGTTTCCGATAATCATAATGGTCAGTGATGTGCTATTTACTTCAATTCTCTTACTTAGTTCAGGTTTATGTATTGGGTTTTGAACCACAGTTTTGTAATTAGACCTAATGATGTTGCTTGGTTGCCTAAGCAGAGAATTAGACGTCTCTAGATTCAAACCTTTTATCCATTATTTAGGATTTGTATGCTTTGATCAGTATGATTACGTAACTTAAATGTCAATACAACTTGTGATATCTTTTCGTTCTTTGTTCCAAGGCATAAACTATTGTTTATATTATTATGTAATATCTTTTTTTTCTGTAAAAATAACTGTTACCATCTTGTAACTTGTTGTGTAAAGCAATATGGCCTGTAGAATACTATCGTGGTCTTTGTGAAATTGCTATAAAATCTCCAGTTCTTCTTTTAAATGATTCCTTACGAGCTGAACTACAACAAAGCTCTGCATTAAGCCCTCGGAATTTATCACAAGTAAGTACATTTTCTTTATACAGTAGTATTTTCATTGGTTATGCTTGCCTCTGTTTTAAAAAGTCTTTGAATATATGGAAGAAAATGAGTTAGTTATTTCCACAAAACATTTGGGTTTCGTTCATTAAATCACATCTTCGATACTCGTTTCACTTATTTTAATTTCAGAGCTCAATTAATATGATTAATCTTCACACGTATAACAAATGTGTGAATTGAAGCTCAATGCATGAATGTTTATTCAGTAAATGGGATACTCGAAGCACTGATTAGTTATTTTGTCCTAATATAAGATTTCTCAAGTGTAGGGTATCCACGATCATGTTGACCATGTTAGACTACGGAGATCATATTGAAAATGTAATGGATTTCTCGATTATATTGCTAGTCATAAGACGCTATCATAATTCTAGATAAGACACAAGCACCCTGGTACGGCCGGTTGATGGAAACAGTCCGTTCTCCCTCTCGAAATGCTCTTGAATGGCCACGCCTACATAGCCGCAGTTAGGGAAGTCTTACTCACTGCCTTCACACAGTAATGGCAGTGTTGTTCACGAAATTGAGAAGACGAAACGCAAATATCTGGTGCTTTAATCGCGTTGGTGGGTATGGAAGATCCAACTACATGAGTTGGAAAACCACAATTCCAAACCATTTGTCCATATGTGACGCATATATATTTGATGCCTCATTGTACCAATGTCTGTTTGCTTAAATAAATAAATGAAATAGACCTAATATTCTTATTGGAATGCTCATACGTCAGTCATTCATGTAATACTATGAATTCGAGTGCACGTACAAATCTATTGGTAAGTTGAATTCAGTGATATTTATTCCATACATACAAGTAATTTTCTTCTTCAATGAATATTTTCTAGATTGATGTAACTGATATACGCAATAAATTATGCATTTTATTGGATAATAATGCTGAAACAACTTCATTAATTAATCGAATGAGTGTTACTCAATGTATTTATTTAATGGCAGTCTATAGACTCGAATCATTGTGGTAAGTTTTACATATTATTTCTAATTGATGTATTTCTTGTTTTGTTTTCTACTTGATTAGTTAGTGTATTAAAATGATGCCTTCCTAATATCACAAATTAAGTTGAAACACATCGGACAATCCTTTTGTCTATATTGTTATTATTCGAAATTTAATTAATTCACTGTATCATCGCAAGAGGTTTTCCGTGTAACCCTCCCTCCCTGCATGGTTAGGAATAGAGTACAAGATATACGTTTCTTCTTATCTGGTACTCATCAGTTAACCATGCTATCCTGTGTTGACTTTAACCGAAATATCTATCTTATTCCTTACTGGTTTTCACAATTGATCACTTCTTTTTGCGTTTTGTTGTTGCCATTTTTCCTGAAAATTTCACCTGAAAAAAATAGATTACTACTAATTGTTCTTTAATCGAATGTATACCATTAAATTAATTGTTGTAAATCTTCTATTCTAATTGATTGATTCCCATGTTCACATTTAATATTTCTATAAATACCTACATTTTTCCCCTTTTTTCATCAATTGGATTAGAAATTACCCTCCCCCTTTTTTTACTTTATTTTACCTCTGGATAATTGGACAGAGGGAGGTAATGATAGAAATCTGATCAAATTGTATATTTTGAGTTTCATTAATTTTTGTTTATCTATAGGTGTGTCATAACAGTTTATGTTCATTTCTTGCTTTCATATTACTTTCCTAGTATTGGTCATTCATCTGATCCTGAAGCATTGCATCGTTTGTTCATGTATTTAGAAGATAATATCATTATAAAGGATAAATTTGGTAAGTTTATCTTTTCACTATTGATATTCATATAAGTTGTATATTTGTAAAATTTTGTTATCTTTACTTTGAACTGGTTGGCTCAGTGGAACACCTTTCATTGTTGTTTTGTGCAACATCCGTTTCACTTTACAGTATAACGCTGGGATCTGTCCATCCTTTATTATTCCCTGGCTCAAGGCTTATAGCCAGTGCAACCCATTGGCTTAATGTGTTATCACATATGGCTCAAAATGGAAGACGATGACAACCTTACCATATTTTTTCTTTTATATTCTTCATAAAATTGTAAGGAATTCATTCAACTGAACAAGGTTATTTTTTGTTGTAATATTATGTGTACCATATCCTGTTATACAAAACCGAACTTCTTGGGTTCGATTTCCTGATGTGGAGTTATGAATGAACGCTGTTGATGAGTTCCATAATTGGAAGAAACGGCCATCCGATGCTTCCATGTTTTCAACGGTTATATAACTAGAATCAATTCGTTTTTAAAACTATAAACATCTGTTTTTTTTATCATACTTCCCTTCCATCCTTTCGTCTTTCTCAATGTTATCTGGCACATATTCTTTTTGACCTACAAACTGTAGAGATTTCAACGTAAAACCTTAATCTTTGTACACAACTAAGATTTATATTACTTCTGTCCCTTCCTTGACTAGGTATGTCTTTATAAAACTATTTGATTAATGAGTATTATTACTATTTTCTATATTGTTTATTTGTTTGTTTTATTCCTTCAGTTTAGTATATATTATTCACTGTCAGACTATTTGAACACTTCTCATTGCATACTTTTGATAGTTTTTAATGTTGTTTATCTTAACGTCTTTTTTTCCAGTTTCCTAATCAACCTCTTATAGTGAATCATTAGTTCAAGTCTTTATTATTCTTATAACAACTAAAAAACTTTATTATCAAGCTAACAGTTTGTACTTTTTACTGATTACTGATTATGTTCACCCCAAATGCCCTGGTACGGCTGAGAGTTAGGATAGTCCGCTCACCCTCTCGAAACGCTCTCACATAGCCACGCGTATACAGCCACTGTCAGGGAAGTTGTCACTTCCTTCTCTCAAACGGTGTGTTGTTTACGAAATTGAAAGGACGAAGAGGGAATTTTTGGCGCTTTAACCAGTTGCTGGACACAGAGGGTTCACCCAGGGGAGTTGAAAAACCTTCAGTCCAAACCGATGGTGCACATGGGCTCCAAAATCCTGAAGGAATAAATGGCGTATGAATCAATCGTTGGGCACCGGCTACCATGGGACTGCATCTCCTCACGATGCTCCACTGCCTTGTGGATCAGACCTTTAGGTCGAAGGCTCCGGGTGTGGCCTTCTGAGAAAACCACCTGTTTCGGTTTGGGCACCCGAGCAGTATCACAGCCTTCATACAAATCAAATGAGATTTGTGTGGCACATACCTATTTGGTGCCTCCTTGTACCAGTATCTGTGTGTTCAAATAATAATAATAATAATAACAATAATAGTAATAATAATAACTGATTACGTTATGTTGAAAAATAGAAATGAAAAGCGAAAGAATAATAATAACAGAAATTATAATAATCAGTTAAACGTAGATAAAGTATTCTTGAATACAGAAGGAATAAGTCATTTCTATTGATTATTCTATTCTTTCTATTGATGTTTTGAACTGAAACTTGACTAGTCTCTGTTGATATATGTGTATCCTATGCTAACTGCCTCGATATTATGATTAATTTTCAAGTATTATGAGTAGAGATGGATAGTTGCTAACACTGAGTTCGAGTCCCAGAGTGAACATCAACTCTGGGATGCAAGTACATCCAGCTGACGAGTCTCAAATTGGGAGAAACGCACATCCTGGGCTTCAACATAATTCACCACTTTTTATTTTATTTATTTATTTGAACACATAAATATTGGTACAAGAGAGCGCCAATATATATGCGCCACACAAAACAATGGGAATTCGAAGAGAAGAAGAAAAAAAAAAAAACTAAGGAACGCAAAAGAAAAAGAGAGTAATGACGATAAGGTACAATCAGAAGAAATCTTTCAGGTAAAGGAGACACAACCACTTTTTATGAAGAAAGTAAAAGAAGGTTACAGCAGGATCGCCACTGGCTTCTATTCTGAGCCATATCTGATAACGTCTCTAGCCACTGTGTAGCACCATCTCTCGGACCCCAACCAGGGAGTCGTGAAGGACCAACACAAGCCAGTCCTTTGCAGCTTTCTTTCATGCCACGACACCATGTCATGCACTGACCACCTCTCCGCTTCTTCCAACCAGTCCCAGAGTCGGCAAATAATGCACGACGTGGAATTCTCTGGGACGACATTCGGAGAACATGTCCAAGCCACCGAAGTCGGTGTTTCAAGATGGTGACACCAATTGAGTTATCATCTCTGTGCCCGAACACACGATGCCGAACCTCTGCATTACTGACATGGTGTTGCCACTGAATGTCAGCAATCCTTCGGAGACAGCGATGATCGAACACAGAGAGTCGTCTAACGTCCTCAACTCGGAGAGGCCAGGTTTCACAAGCATAGAGCAAAACTGCTCTCACCGACGCGTTGTAGATCCGGCCTTTTACAGCCAGACTAACATCACGAAGGCGCCAAAGGTGGCCCAGATTGGCATAAGCCGCTCTGGCTTTCACTATTCGTGCATTGATCTCATCACTCACACCCCCACCAGCACTTATGCAGCTACCCAGATACACGAACTTCTCAACTACGTCTATCTGCTCACCATCCAGGGTGAGTACAGGATTAGAATCCTGCCAGTCTTGTAGAAGTACTTTGCACTTCGAAGGTGCAAAGCACATACCATACCTACGGACACTGATTGCCAACTGATTAAGTGCGGATTGCATGCCTTGGGCATTATCGCACAGTAAGACAATATCGTCCGCATACTCAAGGTCGAGAAGTCTTTCTCCAGGCAACAGATCCACACCACCATTACTTACATTCATCAGAGCTGTTTCCAGAATGTCATCGATGGCAAAGTTGAAGAGGAATGGTGAGATTGGGCAACCCTGCCTAACCCCACTGCTCGAATGGAACAATGGAGAGAGGTGGTTGTATGCCCTCACTCTGCCTGAGGTGTTTTTATACAGGGCTTTTAGGATGTTAATAAACTTCTCAGGCACACCCTTCTTCAATAGACAATCCCAGAGAACAGTCCTATCCAACGAATCGAAGGCAGCCCTGATGTCAAGAAACACTACGATTGTTGGCCTTTGAAAAGTATGGCGGTGTTCTAACATTTGGCGGAGGGTGAAGATATGATCAATACATCCTCGACCAGAACGAAACCCAGCCTGCTCCTCGCGAGTCAATCTTTCTCGGGTTTTGAACAACCTACGAAGAATGACGGAAGCCAATAGCTTGGACGCAATCGGAAGTAAACTTATCCCCCGATAGTTGTTACAAGAACGACGTGAACCCTTTTTAAAGATAGGGACAACTATCGACTCATTCCATGACGTTGGTACACTCTCTAGTTCCCAAACCTTTGTAAACAACGTCGTCAATTCCTTAGTCAAAAAGTCACCACCATCTTTAAAAAGAGCCGGAGGTAAGTCATCTGGGCCAGGTGATTTGTAACGCTTCAAGAGTTGGAGTTCCTTGCGGACTTCCTCCTCGTTTGGTGGATCAGTCGTCACCGGCCATGGAGGGCAGGACAGTCTGACCGATGTTGCCGGAGCAGCAGGCCAGTTGAACTGCCCTTCGAAAAATTCTGCCCATCGTCCAAGACGTCGATGGATGTTAGTGATTGGCATCCCATCATCCTCGCAGATTGTTTCACTCACACCAGACTTCTTGCTGCCAGTGGCTCGGATGAGTTGGAAGAGCTTCCGGTAGTTACCAGATGCAGCTGCTGCTTCCAGCTCATTAGCACGCATCGACCACCAGGCTTCTCGGTCCTTACGCAAGCTTTGCCCAATTTCCTTACGTAACATCCTTCGTTTATGGTCAAACTCACGGTCACCCGGAGTAGACCGACGGGCTTCAATGAGTTGTAAGGAACCAGAAGAAACCCAGTGCTTAAAAGCGGGACGTTTCGCAAACCCACAACTGACTGTTCCCGCCATTTTCATGGCGTCATGCAATTGCAACCAATGCTCATCTATACTTTTCGGTGGAGTGGTAGCTAGCCTAGAGGCTAGCTCGGTTCGATACTTACTTGCAACAGAAGTTGCAACCAGCTTGCTAACATCAATCCGTTGATGGCGTTCACTTCGTTGTCCACTGAAAAGTAAGGCAAGATTGGCGCAGACCAAGGCATGGTCAGAGTCCAGATAGGTACTCCAAAAGGAGCGGCAGTCTTGTACACAACCACGCCAGCGGTAGCTGATCGCGATGTGATCAATCTGAGTCCAGGCTTGAGATGCAGAGGGAGGACGCCAGGTGGCACATCGGCGATGACTGTGCCGAAAGTTAGTGCTAGCCAGAAACAGGTTGTGGTCTGTGCAAAGTTGCAGTAGACGGTCCCCGTTATCTGACCTGCGACCAACGAGTCCCCATCGGCCACCTAAACGACTCTCTTCTGTGCCTAGACGCCCGACCTGAGCATTCAAGTCTCCGGCTAGTACTACAATATCTGTCGAACGCACTTTCTGGAGAAGAACTGATAACTGGTGGTAAAACTCATCCTTGATTGCATCCGGGCTGCAATCTGTCGGGGCATAGGCGGAGATGACGAAAAGACATCGTTTCTCACGCCGATTTCTTCTCACTTTGATGGAACTTTCTAATCTAACAGCACATAACCGACTGTTAATGGGGATCCAATCGACTAGTGCTGCCTCAGCTCTAGCGCTTAGTGCGACACCAACGCCAGCAAGACCAGACGAAGATGCCACAGGGTCCCCGGATAAGCGCACGTAAAACAAGCTTTTCGAAGCGACAGATGGAGATCGAATTTGTAGTACTTCGCCAGAGTCTTGAATACGGGTCTCGGATAGACAACACACGTCGATATTAAGACTTTCCAAAGACATAGCCAGCCCTATCTGTTGTCCGACCTGCATAAATGTGCGAACGTTGAAGGCAGCCAGTTTGAATGGTGCACGTGGTTTCAGAAAATCTGCTTCAGTCCTCGTATTCGGTGGTAACATACAATTTTCAACCGGACAGTGACTCGAGAACGTTTAGATACAGTCGGAATTCCACCAAAGACGAGCCGCTGTATAAGTATAAAAGAGGGTGAATAATGTGGAAAATAATAATAATAATGATAATAATAACAATAATGACAATAATAGTAGTAATAATAATATTAGTATTAATAATGACAATAATTGTAATGATAATAATCTGAATCAATTGTTTGTTTTTCAAAGCGACAAAAGTAATTTCCATAGACATAAAGAGTTCATCATTTGTGTGTGGGCTGTGATACTGCCCGGGTGCCCAAACCGAAGCAGGTGGTTATCTTAGGGGGCCACTCCCCGAGCCTTTGACCTAAAGGTCTAACCCACAAGGCAGTGGAGCATCGTAAGGAGATGCAGTCCCATGGTAGCCGGTGACCAACGATTGGTTCATACGCCATTCGTTCCCGCAGGATACTGGAGCCCATGTGCACCATTGGTTTGGAATCCGGTTAAAGCGCCGGACATTCGCTTTTCGTCCTCTCATTTTCGTAAACAACACCCCCGCCACGAGAAGGCAATGAGTAGGACTTCCCTGGCAGAGGCTGTATACGCGTGGCCGTGTGAGAGTATTTCGAGAGGGAGAGCGGACTCTCCCCACTCTCGGCCGTACCAGGGCATTCACCACTTACCTCTGGTTAGATTAAAGCTTGGTTTGATTACGTGTGTATCGTGATGGAAATCAGTATATTATGTAAAATGTATTATTTGGACGTTAGAATTAGATTTATTTATTTATTTAATACATAAACATTGGTACAAGGAGGCACCGAATAGACACGCGCCACAAAAAATCGGATGATTTATGTGAGGGCTGCAATACTTCCCGGGCGCCCAAACCTAGACAGGTGATTTTCATAGGGCTCCTCTTCGCGAGCCTTTCATATAAAGGTCTAATCCGCATGTCTGTTGATCAACGTTCGGAGATACAGTCTCCTGGTAACCAGTGGTCAACAATAAGTTATTACGCCATTTGTTCCCTCAGAACCCAGGAGCCCATGAGGATCATTGGTTTGGAATTGTGGTTTCCGAAATCCCCTAGATGAGTGTTCCTTATTCACTGACGGTTAATGTACCGGACATTCGATTTTTGTTCTCTTAATTTCTTAAACATTACTCCCGTCATGAGAAGACAGTGAGTAGGACTTCCCTGACAGTGCCTGTATACGTGTGGTCATGTGAAAGCATTTCAAGAGGGAGAGCGGACTCTCTTCACCATCGACCGTACCAGGGCATTTGGGTGATCCATTTTACTAGTTCGAAAGTTTAATAGCTACATAACGGTATAATTTATGAATGTTTATTGTCATTTACATTCAAACTGTTCACCTTATACATTGTATTTTTTGTGCAGCTGACCATCTGGTTATGTTCCGCTTGATTACTATAATCAATAGCTGTAGACTTTGGTTGACATTTCTCAAAGCCGTTCTCAATTGTGAGGCGGGTACATTGAATTTTTGTCTTCCCTTAAATTTTAAGTGTTCTAGTTGACTACGTCGATTCTTTTTTTTCGATTTTTTATCCTATCAATCCATATCCTCAACTAAAATTGTATTTTCAACACTTAGTCTTTTCCATCACACATTTCGTTGTGCTCATTAGATGTGACAACTTATACGTATGTACTACACATTTACCAGTTTCTATATTACATATGACTAATTGACAAGGCATAAGGGTTTTCGTATAAAGAAACTCTCCTTATTATTCTATCTTTTATTTTCAATTATGTATTTCCTCTTAGGTATGTGGACGTGTATTTCTCAAGTGGCTGTACGGATATTTACACGTTATCTTGCTCAAATGAAAACCAAGGTGATCTATTTATTATTTTTTGTTTCATTTTAGATCTCAGTCACCTTTGTTACTATATTTTACTATAATATGATAATAATCAAGAAAAAATCATAATGCTAATGAATGATAGAAAGCGTATAATCGTTCTTACTTTACTTACTTACTTACGCCTATTACTCCTCGTGAAGGAGCATAGGCCGCTTACCAGCATTCTCCATCCAAACCTGTCCTGGGCAATCCTTTCCAGTTCCTTTCAGTTGTTATTCATCTTTTTCACATCTACTTCTATTTCCCAACGTAATGTGTTTTTTGGCCTTCCTCTTTTCCGCTCTCCTTCAGGATTCCAAGTTTGGGCTTGCCTCGTGATGTAGTTTGACGATTTGCGTAATGTATATCCTATCCATTTCCATCGTCTTTTCCTAATTTCTTCTTCAGCTGGAAGTTGGTTTGTTCTCTCCCAGAGAAGGCTATTGCTGATGGTATCCGGTCAATGGTATAATCGTTCTTTAATCTAATGTAACTCACTGATACGATACTCGATTTTAAACTATATCAGTTTGATTAAGAGAATACCTAATAGTGATATGGCATGTTCAGTCACTATGCTAATATTTCATTACTTCAATTTTAATGCAATGAATGTGACTCTTTCTGTCCTTTTCACTATTATCCTGCCAAAATATAACAAGGTTGACTCGTGAATTTAACTGTGAAAATACTACAATCTCCATGAATTGCTATACTGATTATAATTATGTGCTCACTGGCAACTAGCTTCTAGATATAACTTATGGAGTTTTAGTGAGAAGCTGTGACCAGTGTAGTCCAATCTCGATCGGATGTGACACAGTTATCCACCTCAGACAATGGATAAAGCGTTGCACAAGATCATGAATCGATTAGTTTGACATTAATACTGTTGAATGCCAGCTCAGTGGTTTAGACGTTAAGCGTCCTCGGGCGAGATCTAAGGTCATGTGTGCGGGATCATGGATGCGCGCTACCGAGGAGTCTCATACTGGAACGAAACGGCCATCCAGTTATTCCAGGTTTTCAGTGGTGGTCTAACTTAGATCAGTTCATGAGATTCCGAAGATTGATGTTCACAAAACAAAACCGTTGGATTTGTAAACTCGATTGTAGTTAACACAATTGATAGAGTAGATTCACTTCATGGGAAAATGGTACCACGAGTTGTACTGCTGAATCAGATTAGTCAAAGTGAACATCTCAGACTGATAACTTTTCCCAAGTAGTATCTTGGAACATTTCTTGTTCCATTTATCATATATGATTGCTATTAGAAAAAGAAATAGTGTATATTGTGTTTCCTAAATCTTAAGCTTGAAAATTGATAAAATATGTATAGTACAGTGACGTGTTTGAGCGATTTTTTTAAATAACCGCTGCAAATTTCAGTCTGTTGTTGACCAATTAAGAAAATATTTCTTGTCAATCAATCCATTCTTATTATTATTTGAACACATAATTATTGGTACAAAAGGGCATAGAATAAATATGCGCCACACAAGTCACTTGATTTGTGTGTGCGCTGTGATACTGCCCGGTTGCCCAAACCGAAGTAGTTGGTTTTCTTAGGGTGGCACAATCGGAGCCTTCAACCTTAAGGTCTAATCCACAAGGCAGTGGATCAACGCCAGAAGATGCAGTCCCATAGTAACCGGTGACCGACAATAGATTCTTACCCCGATTGTTTTCTCAGTTTACTGGTGCCTATGTACACCACCAAGGTTTTCCAACTCCCCTCGGTGAACCTTCTGTGTCCACCAACACGGGTAACGCGCCAAACATCCTTTTTTCATCCTCTCAGTTTCGTAAACAGAGCGTTTAAGAGAAGACAGTGAGTAGAACTTCCCTGACAGTAGCTGTTTACGCGTGGCCATGTAGGAGCATTTCGTGAGGGTGAGTGGACTCTCCCCACCATTGAACGTACAAGGGCATTTGGGGGCTCAATGATTGCTTTTGTATGTAATTCAAGAAAAATAACGAAATATGAAGTTGTTTCTATACTTTTAGAATATATATATCTCGAACTCTTATATGGGCATGAATTTATATTTCATCAGTTTACAATTAGAGATTTCACTTAAAAACTAAAAGATTGATTCCTTTATTCTGATTGACTTGTCACTAAACTATAATTTTACATACAAGTATTCGTGTATTAATTTTCTCAGTGTTTTTTTTTCTAAATTTTCTACTTAGCCATTAGATATTGTACGTGAATCAATTATGGATATGCATGCTCAATTCTTGTTGGTCATGTTTACACGTATACATAAAAGTTTACGTATTGTAGCTGACGAATTTCTTAGTATGTTAGCTAAAGAGTAAGTGATGTAATAAATTTTTTCCTCCTATTAATTAACAGTTTGTGGAACGATACCTATCAGTTCATAATAAAACATGATTCATGGAAATTAATGATTTTAGGCAATAAAATTATAGATTTATGAGAAAAGGGTTCTGATATAATGGTATTTTACTGTAATATGATGAATACCACCAAACTAGTGACTGAGATTATGTTATCACTAGATTGGGTACTCAATTGAATCGTGTTATACACAATTCATGATCATATATATAGAAAACCAGAGTATAAACTAGACTATGTTTTATTCAATACAATTACAAAACGATTTACACTTAATATGTGCAGATCAGAAGTCAATAATAGGAAAAAAAATCACAAATTAAATATTCAGTAAGCTGAGTGTCTGTTAGCTAACACACAGTAGTCAACCAACACTAGAGGGACATCAGAATTGATCAAAGCAGAAGCATTTAAATCAGAGATGGAATACGGCTAGCAGTGCAATTCATGATGTACGTTTCGTCCCATATGAGAGTTGTCAGCTGGATGTACCTGCACCCTGTATTTGACATTCATTCCGGGACTTGAATCCAGTATTATTTAAGACATAATATTAATTTGTGAAGTCATTACACATTACTCTGAATTTATGTTAAAAAGTATAGATTTTTTTATTATAATAGTGATCAGCAATTGATCATTGTAGCACACTTTTATTCTTTGTCTGTTTTCCTTCAAGTCTTCCTTTTGTCCTATTATTAATTCCTCGTTTGCTGAATTGACCTTAGTTGTGATTGATTCCATTTGTTATGTTGGGTGATTGAAGATAAAAATTTAAATTATCGAGATTAATGTTTTGTTCTCTGCGGAGTGTCCTTTTGTTATGAGTTCCATTTCAAGTGAGATTGTTTTATGTGTATATACAATGGTCCCTCGCTATGTATTTAGTGTTGATGTTAAACTACAAAATAACTTGTTTCTAGTTTATGCATTTGCTTTCATATCGACGTAACACTTGTCACTCTGGTCGATATTCATAATGAATTTATTAAAAAGAATTTGACCTAAATAATGTCATCCTTTTAACTTGGCACATCAGTTATATATCATGAATTGAGATGTACACAGTATTCAGTGTATAAAGTTTATTGAACAAACAGCAAATTAACATTCGTTAGTCTTTTTACTATCCGGTTGTTAATATTCTTGACTGACATTCCGTTCATACTCTTAAGGGATCGAACAAGGGGGCACAAATTAATAAGAGCGACCATCAGAAACTTCCACATTAATCAGGGTTACTATCGAAATGACACATATTATTAATGATTAGCATTAAATGATTAATAACATTTTTATAATGTAAAATATGTTCGATTTACCCTTTGTTGTGCAAGACTTCCCTAAAGTGAAGAATGTGTTGTAGGATGGTCGCTCTTTTGAGTAGATACCTTGACGTTTGACCATTCTTTGTTGTCATATATCTATCTTGAAAAGGCATATGAAATCTAGGTGTATTCAGTTCTGTTAACAGAAATTACTATGTGTCCTTTTGTATACAAAACTTATACATCCTTAATTATGGTGATAACTTCAGGCGTAACGCACATACATACAATGTTTATACAATTTTCTTATCCCTGATCCACTTAGTTATATGATATGTTTAACCGGGTTCAATCTTGATGTAAACTGACTTAAGGTAGTCTGTATACAACCCTCGAACCCGTCATTCTTCATGCTAGTTAACACTTGCTAGTAAGATATACGCACAATCTTCATGGAACTGTTACTCTGTGCTGGCTGCTTTAAACCATTTAACATTTAAGCTTAGTACAAATGATGCTGAATCATATAAACTAGTGACCATGTTAAAATTTGATTGATACTAAGGATTATACAAACGTGACATCAATTACTACCACCTAGAGTTTAAACAATCCAAATTATATTCGTCAGTAGTGGCAATTATGTGTTCATAGTTTATCTAAATTTTCGTGTTACTTCATTGTATATTCTATGTGGAACTTCTTTTCACTTTATAGTTTTCCTCATGTTATGTGGAGTGGACGTGTTCTATTCACAATGTTAGATGTTGCTCAATTATTGTCACAATCATTAGAAGTGGTAAGTTGCTTTCTTTCTCTCTCTGTACAACACTTAGATAATTTCTTCTCTCTAGTCTAAATTTGTATAGATACCTGTTTTTTGGAAGCAGTTTACTTAAGTCTTAATGACTTTTTTGTTAAACTCTACTATACACGAAAGCCGCAACTACACCTCTGCTATACACAAGTGACATTACACGAAAATCCTGTGTACCTTGTAGTCGCTTTAGTACTGTTCAGTATGTGTGTCGGCTAGGGTACTGCACGGGCGCCCAAACCGAAGCAGGTAGTTTCTTAGAGGGTCACACCCATAGGCTTAATCCACAGTGCAGTGGCGAAACATTAGCAGGTGCATTCCCATGGTAGCCGGTGACAAACAATAAGTTGTCATGCTATTTTCCCCTCGAATCCTGGGGCCCATGTGCATCATTGGCTTAGAATCAAGCTTTTCCTATTTTTCTGGGTACATGCTACCTACACACAAATTGAGTAATAACTATTTTGTACGGCTCATATGTATTTAGGTGAATTTTTTGATGCTATCTTATGCATTCAAGTCGATTCTAGTTCTTGGTATTTATTTCATACTAATTAGTACTCGCTAAATCACATCTTGATTTCAAGCGATATCTCCGTTGTGATTCAATTCTCTATATTGTTAATTTAATTGTGACGATAATGGTGATGAATTCACTCATATGGACGCCATTTGAGATCCATTTTGCTTTCAATCTGACAACTAGGACTCCAGAAAAGCTAACTGAAAGGAGAAGGGACTTTTAAAAAGTGTTAGTTGGTTAAAGATGGCCAATAAAAAGCCTTCAACTTAATTTTCGTACTAGTTGGGACTCCTCAACTTGGTTTTGTGGGGACTGGTGCTCTCTTCCAACTGATTTTCAACACCTTACATCAAAATTTAGTGAACGAAATTACTAGACACTTAATATACTTGATTGATCGAATTCAAACAGCACTAAGGTTTATACAAAAACGATATGAGTTACTACTTTGCTATCAATCAATGCAATTCTCAAGACAAGATAACGAAATAAATGAAAATCATAGTAAATGTAGTATGTTAAATGTCATTGCCATATTTCAAAATTGATGATGTTATAGAGAGTAATACTCATTCTATTCAAACCTAACACTTCAGTACTGATCTCAACTGCTAGTCCCATTGCATTACTCATTTTTGGGATGCTAGATCTCCAAAAGTCATTTGGTAAACGTTTTATTTTTGTAATTTTATTTTGGAAGTTTTTATTTCTTGTTTTCTCGCCAAGAGCGTCCATTGTATTTCCCACTTGGAATGACGTTAAATGTTGTCATTAGTTGGTTGCGTCTTTTAATACACTATTCTGTGACGTTTTTTTAACGGACCATTTTATGCTATATATATATATATATGCTTGAGTTGCGTTCTTGGTTTTTTGATACTTCTGGCTGCCTGTGTGATATACCTCTCCCTCATCTGAACCTGGTCTCTTCCCTCTAGTTAGCAGGTCTGGGACGTATCGCAATGGTTTAACTTGTCTTGTCGTTATGTTACTGTTCCTTCCTTCCGTTCACTGATTTTAGGTGGTCTCTTATTCTCTTCAAACATTACAATTCTCTGTATCCATACTTTTCATAGAATTTTCATAAAATCATTTCAATCATATTAATTTAGTCTGTAAGCAGTGAACAAAACAAGAAGTTTCATCATTCTATTCAATGAGAACAATGAAGATTAGTGAATAGATCATTGTTTATTTCCTTTAGATTTACATTATACTTTTTATAAATATGGTATGATTTCTTGATGATATTCATCAGTATTTGGATGTGTTTGTTTTCTAGTTATTGAATTCATAAAAAAAAATATTTCTATCAATGTACTGTTGTATTTTGTTTGATTTCAGAAGTACTACTGAATAGTGTGTTTATATAATTGTATGTGTTCGTTGAAGTTAAAAAGAACAAGAGAGCTACAATCCAAAAGATTATTTTGACCTAAGCAATATGTTTGCATTCCTTTTTTTTTCTGTTTACTGTTTCGTAACAATAGCATGTGGTATTGACAAGTTAATGCTTATCATTAACTCTATGGTCTCATTGATACTTATAATGATTATTTTAACTCATTAATGTGAGCATAGACACTAGGATACAGATGTACATGTAACTGACAAGTTTCATATTGAGATGAAATACGTTTTTTTTTCTTCTAAGTTTCATTTATAGTCATTATGTAAACTTCAGAAATACTTTGGAAATTATCCATTTAAAGTGATTGATCTCTGTATTCTCAGACTCAGAAAAAGTTTCTCTTTACTGACGATTTTTCTAGTTTAAATACAAACACAAATTCTTGATAATATTTTCAGTGTACTAGTATGAAAGTGGTTGAGTTTCGTAATGAGGTTTTAGATAGGTATTGCACAACAGAAAGTTGTTTTCAGTTGTTTCATTCTTTTCCTTGACCTTTCAACAATATACACTACTTCATTTTTGTATTGGTTGCTTGAATCTTCCCATTGATGTGTATGACTGCGATTGATCAGTCTCTTGTTGGTATATGTGGACCTTGCCCTAAGTCACAAACATTCTAAGTAAAGATGGTGGCTGGTAATGGAATCCAAGACATGTTTTGTCTTATTTGGGACTCGTCGGCTGGATGTACGTACATCTCATAATTGATGCTCACTCTGGGACTCGAACACAGTATCGTTCGCTTCAAACGCCATCGCTTTATCCACTTAGCTACCGAGTCTTGATAGGCACTAGCTCGTATCACGGGGTGACCTTTTATTCATTTTTGTATTGATTGTTTACACCTCATACACTACTTATTCGTATACTTTATCACCATTCGAAATCTCAAGATCTTCACATTTTATTGATTATTATTTTGACTTTTCCCAATTAATGATATTCGTCCACCTTTGAACTGTTTTTTTTTCTCGTAAATCTTAAATATTTCATTCCAATATCTCTAGGATCCTAATCTGACTGCACCAGTTTATAATGTTCCTGGAACAAATTTCAAATTGTTTACTTCCGATAGTTTACCAGCTAGAGAGAAAATGTTAACTGATTTTGTTAAACGTTGTAAAGGAATTATTGAAGTTGGTTTACAATGGGCACCAAATTTAGTGCGTTCACATTTAATTAATTATATGCTAGAAATACAACATCCATCTACAGACTTACCACAACATACTGGTTTAGCATTGGCTACAGAATCCGTATTAAATTATGCCGGATATAATCGTTCAGCATCTTTCTTAGGGGTAAGTAAAGTCGGCCGACTTGGAGTTTTTTCTTCGTTTGGTAATCTGCGTTTCTGTGATTTGATCCTACTTTGAATCCATCGATCATACAACATGCAATCTGGTACATAGTTTTCTTATATTTCTGTGGAAATTAAAAAAATATCTGCATAATTATTCTATTGATGGTTTCAATATAGTAACAGCAATCATCTGAGGATAGATGACATCTATTTACAAAGTTCATGTTTTTGGTAACCATATCAATGTAATTTACATGAAGTGTGATGAATGATTTTGAAGCCTTCTACTTACTGATGACACTACTTTAAAAGTTACTGTCATATGACCAAATGCTGAGAAGAACTGAATCATAAATTATTTAATTGCAACATCTATCTAAGACTATAAATTGATAGTTTGACAATAAAACATAAAACAACGAAATTGTTTGACTTCTCATGACTTCAAAAGGTAATTTGAACAATGGAAACAAAGAAGAGATCATTTATATCACCACATACAACGAAAAGATGCATGACTGTTGTACTCTAAATTTTGTAAAACCAAGTGTTTATAACCTCAGTTCGTATATTTATTCAATAGATTGTGAATATCAGTTAACTATAATGATAGGATGAAATAATGTCACTTCTATATCACATTTTACAGCACATAACAAATATTTACTTCTGAAACTTATGCCTCTGTCAATTACCTTGTGATCGAATCACCAATCAAAATGTCGTCTTCTATAACCTTGTCCTGGTACTAAGCGCATTACTACGTCAAACAGCATTCACAGCCTTGAGTCAACTCTGAATCCCTATTGATCCTCCATGTAGTAGTAACTTCTCGCCTAGCCCAGACTGTTCAGTCCAAAACACAAATATCAGTCTGCACTATATGAATCGTATATTTCTGACGTATGTAGTTTGTATCCAAGCGGACCAGACCTCATCATATCACAAAGTAAAAAATAACAATTATACTTTTGGATGCTGGTTCAGTTGTCTAGAGGTTATGCGTTCGCTCACCAAACCGAAGTTCTTGAGTTCGAGTCGTGCATGCAGGATCATGGCTGCTCACTGTTGAGTAGTTCCATGCTAGGTCTAAACGGCTATCCCGTGCTTTCAGGTTTTCAATAGTATTCTAGCTCAGATTGACTCGTGAATTCGACTACAATCTCCACAAATCATACGAGATCAAGCAAAAGGTGGTTGTGAGTTTAGGAGACAGTAAAAGAACAGTAGTTAATGGGTCAAATGAAAACTTATGATAAGGTGAATATAAATTTGTATATAATCTGGTTACTTAATGATCATGAAGTAAGAATATATATATAATACTATTAATAGTAGTCTGTAAATAATTTCTGGAAGTTACCAATAATCTAATCTACTTCGAATACAACACTTGATTTAATTGAAGTCTATATTCTAATTGTTTTAATTATTCCTAGACAAGTGCACTTGATAAACGTCCAACTTGTGCAAAAATGGATTCATCAAATTTTATGTATAATTTAATCTTACGTAATCGTTATTTGGGTGAAGTAAGCAATGTCTATCTTAGTTTATTATTATTATTATTTTTTCTCTTTTGGCAATCTATCTATCGTGTGTAATTGTTTTTAAACAATGAAATATTTACACATACATCTTAGTGATGACCTTAATCTCTTTGCTATTCACTAATTTATATTTCTCATTCAATCTGTGTGTGTATACACCTATTGCATGAATTATCTAACGGCTACCATGATAACCTAACATACTGATTCCTTGATTAAACCTATCGATTGATAGTTAAACAATCAATTAGTCATCCACAACTTAGGATCAGGCACTTATACGCATTGATCCACGTTGCCATACCTCATTAGCACACAAAAATGAGCACCAAGTTCATGTGTAATACATGGCCTAACCGTCTCAGTCGATGAAAAATTTACAACCTCATCAAGTGATTTACCATCATTCCCTAATACTTTGCGTCTAACCTCACTTTTACTTACCCGGTGATCCCAGCAGATACTATTGATGGTCAAGTACTCTGCAAGTCATTCATGAGCAATAAGAAATTGTGCACTTATAGGCATCAGCAACATAATGAGTTGCCTGATTAGCATTATTAGTAACAGTATTAGTGTTCGCAGAAAAGGCTAGACATGAAAGATACGGTTCTAAAAGAAATAATTATTTTCGTAAAAAAAACTAATAGTTTTCTAAGACCCAAAGCCTAAAAGAAGATAAAGAGTGAATACATCTGTGTGATTATAACCATTTCTGAACCATTCTACTTAACATCTCCAATTATTAGTCCCGATAATCATACAGACTTCAACTACTTATTTTACATCTATCGATGTAGCCGTAGTTCAGCAGTCTATTTCGTCATAGGCAAATGCTATGTTTTGATTGAAACACTTTAGTTTCTTTTTCCAACCCACTCCTACACCAGATAACATCGATAACAACATGCGCATTACTAGGTTCAAAATTTACTTCTGTTATATAGGCTGTGATTTTCATATTTTGCCGGTGGTACATATCTTTACAACAGGAGGTAGTTATAACGGAATCGTGAACCTAAATTTCATGCTTATCTTCACTCGTTAGCAGGATTTATTTGAAATTTCGATACTGAATAATGCAATTTCGAAACCCACAGGAAGTATCAGTTCTTTTTAGGTTCCAAAAACATCTAGTTCATTAGTCTTCAACTAGTATGGTGACTGCCTTCAACAACTTAACGTAAAATATGTCGCAGTTGAGTTGTACAATCATTTAAACTAGTAACCGAATTGTAACGTAATTCATAGAATGTTACCAACAAAAAGCATCATATAAACATAATATTGAGTATTACTTTATGGTAAAATAAATCCACTTCATTTCATAAATTTAAAGTATTTTTATCGTATAGAAATATGTTTATGTAGAATAGATGGAAATGTAGCAAGCAATGGAATCTAGGATACATGTCTCATCCTTTTTTGGATTATATTAATGAATAAAAATCTTTCATTGCCTATGTAATTCACAGTTCACATCTTCTCTACTCCTACTTCGGGTTTAGGCATCCGGTCCGTATCGTAGACCTCACATAAATCGATTGATTTATGTGGCGCATATCCATTTAGTACCTCCTTGTACCAATATTTATATGTTTTTAAATAAATAAATCTGTCGCTCAATTTCGTGGATGAGTTGAATTTAGACATTAACACCCTTGAATGCCAGCTCAGTGGTCTAGTGGATAAACGCTCGCGAGGCGGGATCATGGATGTGCACTTCTGAGGAGTCCCACAATAGGACGAAACGGCCATCCAGCGCTTTCAGGTTTTCCATGGTGGTCTAGCTTCAATTGACTCATGATCTCAATTATTGAAATAAATAAAATTTAATCACTATGTGTATAATATAACTTTTTATATGTATGTATGTATGTATATAGGCATCAGGAATGTTACGTTATTCTGATGATCCAATGAAACTGGTGAATAAAATGAGTAAAGATTTAGAAATTGCATGTCATAATGGTAAGAAAACAAACAAACAAATTTATTATTTATGCCAAAAAATACAATACCTAATTCAAAGGTATCTTTTTCATTTCTTATCTATTGTAACAGTATGCAAATTTGTAATCAACTTATGATTACTGTCATAATATTTTGTAATTAGAATTGTCTAGCATAACAAGATATTTAATTAAACTTTTAATATACTTTAGACATGTCCGTTTACAATGTAACAAACTTTAAATAGTACTATATAGTTGTATTATTTAGTTTGTCGGTATATGTTTCAATGGTGAATTGTTCTTACCCTAAATGCCCTGGTACAGCCGAGAGTAGGAGGAGTTAGCTCTCCCTTTCGAAATGCTCTCACATGACCATATGTATACAGCCACTTCCAGGCAAGTCCTACTCACTGCCTTCTCGCGACGGGTGGGTGTTGTTAACGAAATTGAAAGGACGGAAAGCGAATGTTCGTTGCTTTAGCCGGGTAGGTGGATATGGAGGATCTAACTACAAGAGTTGTAAAACCCTGATTCCAAATCAATGGGATCTAGGATCCTGGGGGAATAAATGGTGTATCAACCTATTATCGATCATCGGCTACCAAGTGACTGCATCTCTTAACGTTGATCCACTGACTTGTGGATTAGACCATTAAGTTAAAGGCTCGTGAAGTAGCAGCCTGAGAAAACCAGCCGTTTCAGTTTAGACACGCGGGCAGTATTTCAGCCCTCATACAAACAGAATGAAGAAGCCTGGCCTGCATTTATTTGGTGCCTCCTTGTACCAATGTTTATGTGTTTAAATAAATAAACCACCGAGCCATCCTGAGCTCGAGTCCTGAGCGCAGGATCATGGATACGCACTCCTGAGGAGTCCCATACTTTGACGAAACGGTCATCCAGTGCTAAAAACGACTGATTAATTCAACTATTAAATTACTACAGTCTCTACAAATCTTCATCCTGATAATTATATTTATATTGGTTTAGAGGGCTTTTGGAAATCGCTAACCTTGTATTTCGCTTCACGAACTAATTGCAATTACATAACCATCGGTAATAAAGAAGCGCTTGGCAATCGTTTCGTCTCAGTGTTAAACTCCCCAGGGATGTGCACTAATAACTGGCGTAATGTTCGAGTTCAGGAACTTCTTGGCCTCTTTGTAAAAGCTTAACTTTAAGATCCCTGAGTTTACATTCAGTGATGTTAGTTTCTGATTTCAATCGATTCACGATACTTTGCAACCAATATTCAACATTATAAGTAGGTAGCCGCTTCATTATCGATATGATTGAACTCTCCTGTTACAGCTTATTACTATGACTTTTGGAACAACTACGTCTCGGAATTTATTATCAATAAACCCTTGATTATATTACTAGTTTAAATCACCGACTGACTTTCGTTAGACGGCCATTACGAAACTTGATTGATATAATTCTATCAGCACTAAAAAGGACCCGACATTCATGACATTGGTCCACTAATATCCAGTGACCAATCAATTGTAAAAATAGAAAATATTGACCAGCTTTTTCATCTCAGTTTGACAGTTGTCACCCACAGTACGCATCTACCTTAATCCAATCGGTTCATCTAAATTGAATAATGAATTTAACTAATAAATTAACGATGTTCAGTATTGTAATAAAGCTTATTATAACAGTCTCCTGTCTAATAACTGTTCTTGACCTCTATGTGGAAATTTTCCTCTCTCCCCGTTTATTCAAATTTTCAACGTCTATTGTTGTTTGCTTTTTTGACAGCTTCACGTCTGTCTAAAATGCTTACTAATCTAGAAGAATCACAGCCAAAGTCAAAACAACAACAGTTGTTGAAATCATCTTTGAGTAGTAGTAATAATAATACAAGTAATAATCAATTAGTCAATGAAACCACTGAACAGATTAAACGATTACAAAATCAAAAATCCATTGCATTGGATGTTGTACAAGCATGTTTATTTCGTATGACAGCTTTATTAGTGATGCATAAATCACAAAACCATGATCCTATGATGAATAAAACTAATTTAACTGGACAAGATCTTATTGTTGGTGATGCTGATGATAACAATGATGATGAGGAGGAAGAATGTCAAGAAGAGGAAGATAACGATGAATATGACGGTGACTCTGACGATGACGATGACAGTGATGATGATGACGACTTAGATGGTGATGAAGATAATGATGAGGATAGATCATCTGAACGACAGAAACGCCATTATCACCATCGTCGTAAATTTCATCATCATCTTCAATATGGTGGATCAGTTATGAAACGACTATTGCTTAAACCAAAACGATCAGTTTCTCGATTGAATAATCCCAACACTACAAACTTTCCCGTTCCTCCAGTGACAACAACAACAATGACAGTATCAACAACCGGTAATCCTAATTCTTCATGTCATTTAATCAATGATACAAAAAATCCTACAACTATTGATATCACAAGTGCAACAATAACATCATCAAGAAAAAAATTGTATGTTATGAAAGGTGATACAGCAAGGCGTTTATTACAAGAAATATGTCATTCACCATTAAGATTATTTACTACAGAAATGTTAGAAAATGCTTTAGCATGTTGGCAATGGTTAATTGTTGGTAGACCGGAGTTAACTATTCAGGTAAGAATAAATGAAACTATCTTTTTTCTTATTTTTAAAGAGTTTTCTCAATATCGACCTGAAACGTGAACAAATCCCATCCATTAGTTTATAATACAATAACTTCAATAGTTGAAATTATGAGTCAACTGAAGCTAGACCACCATGGAAAATCTGGAAGCACTGGACGGCCCTTTCGTCCTAGTATGGGACTCCTCAGCAGTGTGTATCCATGATCCCCCCACAAAAACCCCTCCTGATAATACAATAACTGTTATATTCAAAAACATTTTATTTATTTGTGAATCTTCATTTACTGTATTTCTCGCCATTGCCCACCTTGACTTGCAATACTCATAGAGTAACAATATTTAAGATAATGTCATTCAACGGCGCTAGGTCAAACATGAACATGACATTAGATCATGAAATAATTGATTATCGAATGATGTAGTTTTCTTGATCATGATCCATGTCAGATAATTTTAATTTCAGGCTGGTGATTGTAGGTAACATAGTTTCGTCTTCTAAATTTCAAGTTTTAACAGTTTTAAGAGGAAGTCAGTTGTGGCCCTAATAGTTCACTGGTAAAATATCTGACTACGAAACTGATTAACACATGATTTAATCCGCCAGAGAAAATTTATCCCCTCAATATTACAGGTACATCTTGCAGACGAGTGCCAAATAGCATGGAATCTATGCCATGAGTTTCCTATCAACCACCACCTTACATGTCAACATAGTACATGCTATGTCAAGTTATTCAAACTAGTGACCACATTATAGGTTGATAGAGTTTCATCAGAACTAAGGAGGACTTGAAATAAGTGACATTGTACACACAACTAATCATTGATCAACCAATTGTAGGTTTTCAAATTATTTTAAACTATTCATTCTTTTACGGTTTTATTTTAATGCCATAATGGATGATACTGTTAGTTCAATTCTGTTATATCTTGAATATTGATTTCTCGATATACCGCCTATAACAGAACACTAGAACACCAAAACCCTTCCAAGTCGCAATAAGAAGACAGAAGACTAATGAGAGGAATATTATTCCAAACAGTGTCAATCATAGTACAAAATTGTCAGTTATTTATAGTTTTTAGTAAGAACGAAATCATCATTACAGTCCTCCAATCCGCATACAGGGGCTATTAGCATTGTCCAATCGGGAAGCTACACGTAAGAATTCTAGAATATTCTTCCGAAAGATGATTGGATGGAACACCTTCGACTCCTTCTGAGCCTCTTACAGCTTCCTCGAGTTCACCCGTGTTCCGTCGTCACAAATTCACTTTTGTTCTATTGGTTTTCTATGGTTATGCAAATATGAATTATAATTACTTGAATTCTCTCAAGATTTCTTATCAAATTTTGCATTGTTCATTATTGTATAATATTGTAAATCTCTCTTTATCTACTATAAGACGTTACTCATTTCAATGTTATCGCAAAAATATACTTTTAACTGTTTTGGGAAGTTTATTTTATCCCATCCTACTGGGTGAGCACCAGTGTACATCTAAACACTTCAACGATTGCTAGTAGTATTGATATATTTTCTGTACTTCCATCGTTTACTCGATATACGAGGGAGGGGAGTCATCAAATTGAAAACTTCAACAATTATGTTGGATGTTGACAACTAGTTTAATGGTTTTTTGCGTGTCTCTACTGAAGTTCATTGATTCTATCTTAGTAAGTCTAGTTTAGTTATCTTGCCAGTCAAAAGCATTGTACTTAAACTTCTAACTTCTTAGAGGATACCAGATGATGTACAATGTTCCTTAACTTTTCATTTTATGTCATATTAGATCACAAGAAGTCGCTTCATGGTATTTCGATACACACATGTTGATAGTTGTATCGTCAATATGGATTCTACTGTCAGTATTACTAGTATTGAAGAGAAGAATGTGTTACATCCGATCACTTTTACGCATTTTTAATGTTATAATAGGTATTTCTGTCGGGTGTCCAAAAATATCACTCGGGAATGTCTCTCGAAGCCTAAAAGGGGTTGAGAACATTTTACCCAATCAACATTGAACTGAAGCCTTTTAGAAAGACATCTAGAGAAATGAAGGATTAGGTGTCGCGTTTCAGTCGAATAACTACTTATTGGGTCACAATATTTACTGTTTCCTGAATTTTTCGAAAGTCGAGGTTATATGATAACGGACATATGCATACTGGTTTTTGTAAATACCAGTTGATCTAATAGGCTCCACTCAAGTTATTCACCTTTCCTTTACTGTTAGGTTTTATATGTAGGAGCAGTCTGGGACCATAGGAAACGGCTAAAAAGACAGTAATAAGTGTTAAAAACTCGTCAATATCATGTATAACTCCTGTAACCAGTAAATGTACCATATTACATCAGATCAATTTTATTTTGCCATGTTTTCAATTTATTCTTGGTTTCTATTTTCATATTATTGTTGTGATGCAGCTTTTGAACGAATTGAGTGATGCCTGGCAAATAACCATTCATCGACGTCTTGGAGTATTCTCTGTACATAATGCCGATGATGGCGAAGTTTTGCCATTAATTGTATCAGATCAATTAAAGTATAGCCCACCAAAATGTAACACTGGTCCCCATCAGTTATGGTCACAGGTAAATGCACGTGTATATATGTGTGTACAGCGACAGAAGTTTTTCATATTACTTGTTATGTGATAACCTTTACGCATATATAAGTGTATACACATCATTAATATTGATCGGCTTGTTGCTAAGCTTTGCTATTTTAACTCTTTCTCTATACGATATCCTTCAGTTCCATGGGTGCTGTTGCGTGTAAATCCATTCATCATCACTTAATCCTTATTTCCAACTTGATTAACTCAACAGTTCACGAATTCTTGTCGAAAACATTCAGAAATCCATTTGATTTACAACGTCGACTATTATTATTATTATTCATAATGATAAGCAAAAGTTTCCCTCAAGTATACTTCTATATGACGTCAGTCACGTTATTACCAGATCCAAGATTCACGAGACAAAATAGAGAACCGGAGTATAGACTAGATAATACTTTATTCAACATAATTACAACCAGTCATACTCAGTGAGTCCGGAGTAGGAATCAATGACAGGAGAGGCAATCACATATTTAATAGTCCATTGGTCAAGTACCTTATCTTTCTAGACAACATGACGTTAGTATGCACTTCAAAAGTATTAGATTTCATAGAATCTCTCCAAAATTAACTGGTAACTTGTTGTGTTCACTTGTAATCTATCCGTTATGACTTTCGCCTCTGTCAATTATCATGTGAAAAAACCGTTAATCAGAATATCGACTTATACGACCTCATTCTTGTGCTAAACCAATGATGCGTCAAACAGCACTAGTCGCCTTAAATCAACTCGGATTTCTTATTGGTCTTCGGTGTATTATCTTATTGCTTAGCGCACCCGGGTCAGTCCAGAATTCTATCCCAACCCCCATTGTATGAATCATGTATGTCAGACATAAACAGTTTATATACAAGCAAATCAGGCTGCATCGTACCATAACATAGAAAGTAACATTTATAAAAGATCAAGTCGAAAAATGGATGGGATTATAAGAGACTATAACTATTAAATTGGGAGTAAGTTAAGAATAGTAAATCGTATAATAGTAGTCAATAAGTCAAATGAAAGCGTATAATAAAGGGGATATGGATACACATATAATATAGTTACTTAATGGTTATACAATAACAATACACGTATAATGTTAGTCCATAAATAGATCCTAGCGGTTACTATTCATCGGTTCTTCGTTCAGATGTAACACTATCTGAACGTTATTCACAATTCTTTAACTTTCCTTACGTTCTGTCCTTTCGATATTTTAATATTTTATCAGTCGAACTTCTGTTTCATAACTGCTCCATATGCATTAATATAAACAAGACTGTATCATGTGGTTTAACAGGTAGCTATTGATCGCATAGATATAAGCAAAGAGGAAGGCTTTTTTCTTCTATGTAGCGTTTTTCATAATTATCATCGTTTATTTTGTAGATTCCCTGGTACAACTAAAGTTGGGAAGAGTACACTCTTCCTCTCGAAATGCTCTCACATGGTCACACATATACCAAATTGAGAGAACGAAGATCGAATATCCGACGCTTTGACCGGGTTGGTAGATATGGAGGATCCAACTGCAAGAGTTGGAGAATCCAGATTTCAGACCGGTGGTTCACGTGCCCTCCAATATCCTGAGGGAACAAATGGCGTATGAACCTAGTGTTGGTCACCGACTACCATATGACTGCATCTCGTAGCGTTATTCCATTGCCTTGTAAATTAAACCTCTAGGTGTAAAGCTCATACAGTGACCCTCTGAGAAAACCACCCGCTTCGGTTTGGGCGCCTGGGAACTATATTTGGTGGATAATGTATTTTTATCCAAAAATATCAAATTTTATAAACATTCAACGTTGTAATTTAATTTAGATTCATGTAATGGATCCACAAAAATATGTCACTTAACTGTATGTTTTTTATCTTCTTTTCTCTATTTACAATCAAGTTTTTCAGTGAACGTCTATATGTTGCACAGTCATCAAGTCAAGAACAGTTAGATATATTTTTTGATTTATTACAAAAAACTCTAGCAGGAGAAATTGCTTCATTAAGTAAAAGTATACATACAGTACAAAATTCTTCGGAAACTTCAAAAAACTCACAAAAACCTCATTCTCGTCGTCATGATCATCCATCTTCAATTATAAGAGGATGTTTAACTAATAATGTAGCTGCATTAGGTGTACGTTGTCGTCTAGTTGAAATGTGTCTTAGTTTATTACAAAATACTGGATTTAAATCAAATTATTCTGGAGGTCAAGGAATATCAACTGATGAATTATCTAGTCATGTTGGTGGTGTAATGACAGCTGCGACAATAACAACAGGAACTGGTGGTGGAGTGGGTAGCAGTGGTGGAAGTGTTGTTAGTGCTGGAGGAAGAACTGGTGGAAGTAGTGGAAGTCAAGGTCAAATAGATACAGGATGTTTATTTCCTTTAGCTAGAATCGCTCTTCGAGAGAAAGCTTATGCAACTATATTGAATTATTTCACGTAAGATTATCAATCATCTGGTTTGTAACATACAGTTATTTATTTAACCATTTTAAATTCTCATCAATATTATGGAAGTGAATATGTCATTGACTTGAACAGTATATAGATTCTTTTGGTTGGCAGATATTACTAAGGTTTTTAAATTCTCTACTCACTCAAAATCGTTTGCGTAATGAAAGCATCTGTAACACTGTAAACACTTGAACCATTAAATCGTATTGAGTGAATATGTTTCTTTTGTACACTTGTCCAAGTTTGAATCTTTCAATCACTACTGAACCCTCATGAAATACACTCCACATTGTAGGTACTGTACGCCATTTCTGGGCTATTGTAGCTCTTCGTTTATTTCACAAAAGTTGGTTGATGATGATTACACGATAATTAACCTTGAAGTCACTACGTTAACTCGAAATATGATACACGATGAAGGTTTTCATATTCTCTTAACCTTCCAGTTTTCAACCTCTCTTACTTACTTACGCCTGTTACCCCTCATGAAAGAGCATAGGCCTTCCATGCTTTACCCAACTCTGTCCTGGACAATCTAATTGTTCCCTTTTTTATGTTCGCTCCCAGTTTTCGGTGCAGTGTGTTCTTTCGTCTTCCTCTTTTCCGTTTCCCTTCAGGATTCTAAGTTAAAGCTTGCCTTGCGATGCGGTTTGATGATTTCCGTATTGTATGTCTAATCCACCTCCAACGTCTTTTTCTAATTTCCTAATCAGTTGGAAGCTGGTTTGTTCTCTTTCACATTAAGTTGTTGCTGGTGGTATCTGATCAACGGACATTGTCAGTCAGTCAGTAACAACGTAGAACTTCGTACGTACGTACATCAGTTCGAGTTGCCACACCACATTAGCACAGAGATGCAGTGGTCGATTCAAATCCCGTAGTGGTAGAGGTAATAAGAGTATAAGCAGTAATCGGGAAGATTAGGGTTTGGAGATGTTATTTAAAGAGTATAATACAGTGAAATAAATTTGAGAGGAGAGAAAAAAGAAACAAGGAGGAATAAGGAGATCAAAATTTGGGAGAACACAAAGAGTGGATGCACCTGCGCCATTGCAAACGATTTTGAGCCATGTCATTCAGGGTCTCTAACCATCGGTTGCTATCATCTCGCGGTCCCCAACCAGGTAGTCTACACCTACCAACATGACTCAGTCCACTTGTCAGTGACTTCATGGACTTGTGCCATGTTTTGGTTTGGCCGCCCCTAGCTTTCTTCCAACCTACTCCTATACCACTGAACATAGCACGTCGAGGCAGTCGGTCGTTGGGCATACGTAACACGTGTCCCAGCCATCTCAACTGATGAAGTTTCACTACTTCATCAATTGATTTGCCATCCTTACCTAGTACCCGTTTCCTAACAACTGCATTACTTACTCGATGGTCCCATGATATACGAGCAATATTTCGAAGACACCTATGATCAAATACTAGTAACCTACGAATATCCTCTACTCTTACCGGCCATGTTTCACTGCCATAAAGTAGGACGGAACGAACTGCTGCGCAGTAAACCCGTCCTTTGGTTGATAGACGGATATCTCGCCTACGCCATAAATGACGCAAGTTGGCAAAAGCTAGTCGAGCCTTCTGTATCCGTGCTGAGATTTCGTCACACACCAACCACAAGGGCTGATGAGACTTCCAAGATAAGTGAAGCGGTCGACACACTCAACTACTTCACTCCCTATCACTAGTTCGGGTGTCGATGTAACCCAATCCTGAAGCAACATTTTGCATTTCGAGGGGGAGAATCGCATCCCGAACATGCTTGCATTGTTGCTTAGAGTGGTCAGAAGACTCTGCATTTTGTCAGCGTCTTCACCAAATAAAACTATGTCATCAGCATATTCTAAGTCAACAAGTGAACCTCCCGGTAGAAGTTCAACCCCTGGAAATTTAGATGAGGAGAGTGTTATCTCTAAAAGTACGTCGACCACAAAGTTGAACAAGAATGGGGAGAGTGGACAGCCCTGACGAACACCACTTGAGGTAATCAATTCTGATGACAGTTCGCCATAAGCTCTCACTCTACCAGTTGTGTTCGAGTAGAGAGCCTTTATAAGGTTAATGTACTTCTTTGGTACTCCTTTCAGTGACAAACACTGCCATAGAACCTCACGATCAACAGAGTCGAATGCCGCCTTAAGGTCGAGAAATACTACCATTGTGGGGCGTCTGAATGTGTGTCTGTGTTCTAGAACCTGACGTAGTGTGAATATCTGATCTATACAACCACGTCCAGGTCGAAAACCAGCCTGGTTTTCTCTAATCTGCTCTTCACGAGCTTTGATTAGGCGTCGAAGTATTATTGAAGCTAATATTTTAGACACTATATTAGTCAAACTGATTCCTCTGTGATTGTCACAAGAGGACTTTTGTCCTTTCTTATAGACTGGCACAATCAGTGATTGAGACCAGTCAGATGGGATTACGTCCAGTTCCCAAATTCTACCTAAGACCTCAGTTAATCTCATTGCTAATACTGGACCACCATCCTTAAAAATCTCAGGAGTAAACCTGTCAGGGCCTGCTGCTCTCCCTCGTTTCAGATTTCCTATGGCTTTTTCAACTTCGTAAAGGGACGGAGGACCTACATTAACTTGCCATTCAGGTTGACTGGAGATCGTGGGAAACCGAAGTGTGGCTGAAGGCCAGTTGAACTGATCCCTAAAGTGTTCTGCCCATCGATCCAATCTCCTGGATTGAGAATGAATAATATGTCCATCTTTCTCTGAGATTGTTTCGCTAACGGTCGGGTTCCTAATTCCGGTTTCCTTAACGAGTCTGAACAATTGTCTGCTATTACCTATTGCCGCTGCCTTTTCCATCTCTCTTGCTTTCGCTACCCACCACTGTTCGCGATCATTGCGTAGACTTCTTGTCAGCTTGCGCTTAAGCTGACTCCGCTCTTCATTATGTTCAGAGCCAGGTGGAATGAGTTTCCGAGCATCTATCAGTGCGATAGATGCTGCTGAGATCCAGTGTTGCTCCCTAACCTTCTGGTTTACCTTACTAGCAGATATCACTGCTGTTTCCACAGCTTTTCGGATATCATTCCATGCTGCATCGGGGTGGGCATCACATACATGGCTGCCTAACTGTTTTCCTAGTTGTTCCTGAAATATACTCTTAGCTTGACTATCATTAAGTAGGCCCTAAGAGGTTTCCTTGCAGCGTCTTTCCTACGTCCAGTAAGACGCAAGCAAATACGCGCTCGCACTAGAGCATGATCTGAATCTAGGCATGTGCTCCAGAATGAGCGACAGTCTTCTATCGAGCCCCTCCATCGGTGGCTGATAGCGATGTGATCTATTTGGGTCCAACGTTGGGACGAATTAGGGGGTCGCCATGTTAAAAGATGTTTTTCCTTATGCTTAAAGTTAGTATTTGCAAGGAACAGGCGGTTATCTGAGCATAGCTGCAACAGACGGTCGCCATTATCTGTTCTTTGAGCCACGACACCATAAGATCCACCTAGGTGTCTTTCCCTATCGCTTAGTTTACCTACTTGAGCATTAAAGTCACCGGCCACTATTACTACATCCGAGCGCCTAGCTTTTCGGAGAAGGTCCGAAAGCTTTCTGTAAAACTCATCTTTTACATCATCTGAGCTGCAGTCAGTGGGAGAATAGGCAGAGACGACGAAGAGGCAACGACGAGTGTCCCTATCTTTCCGGATTCTTACTGTTCCGTTCAGTCGGACAGCGCACAAACGACTGTCTACTGGGATCCACTCTAAGAGAGCTAGTTCTGCCCTAGGACTCAATGCTATACCTACGCCGGCGAGGCCACGGGAAGCAGAATCAGGGCTTCCAGATACACGAAGCGTAAATCGAGTCGGTTCTTTATTTTGGCATGGTGAGGTCAAATGAATGACGCTACTTGGATCCTGTATGCGCGTTTCGGAGACGCAGCACACATCGATGGCGCGAGATTCTAAAGTTTTAGCTAAGGAAGCCTGCTGTCCTATTTGGCAAAGTGTTCGTACGTTAAAAGCTCCTACGTGTAGTTTAGAGCGTGGTTTCAGGAGACCAGGAATGGCGTTCCACGTACTCGAATCGTTTGCCCTAGCGGTGCGAGGTGATAAAGAGACGTGAGGAGGGTTAGTCATGGAGATAAGAGGTATTAGGAGGTGTAGGAAGGATTTGAATGTGACCACCTTGGTCTCTTGTGCTGTTACGGGTATGAGGGCTGATGTCACTTCCCGGCTGCCCACACCGTGGAAGGGTATTTCTTGAGGAACCTGAAAAGGAAATTGGATTAGTGTTGGTCTTGACGACCTGGGAGCGTGACCGCAGAGCCCAAGGGACAACTGCTTGAGGCCGGTCGCGCACGGCCTTTTTGTGGAAGGTTTTTGACGTGTTAGCTCCGTTCTTCAAAGGGCCTTACCGCCGGAGACGGAAATCCGTGAGGTAAGGTGAGGTGTGACATTTTTAGGGTCGACCTTTTCTAACCCCACCCCTCCTTGTGGGAAGGCAGCATCGCTGTCATGCTGGTTGTCCGAAGGAAACACCTTACTGCTGTCACACCCCTCTACAGTCAGCAGTACGACTTCGCCCTCAGACCTTGAGTTGCTGCTTTTAGTCTTACCGTTCACCAATCGACCTGCCTGGCATGGTAGAACCTACAGGAACATATGTTCCAGCCAATATAGCTCGGTTGGGTCATCACGATAGGCAAGCCCGACCACCGCGTCAAGGTAGCAGGTTCGATCGGGAACGGACATTGAGTATCTTGCATATACATTTATTCATAAATACTTATACCTTGTTGATGATGATTGTGGTAGTTCTCAATATTTCACATCCGTATAGCAGAGCTGTTATGGTGTTCGAATTAAGGATTCTCACTTTGATATTTGTTGATAGTTGTTTTGAGTTCCATAAGTTCTTCAATTGTAGGAATGTTGTCCTTACTTTGACAGTCCTCGCCTTTACATCTGCTTCAACTATTCTCACTGATCAGAAATATAATCAATTGGACGATTAAAACTCTACTCCATAAAAGCATTTAGATCATTGTCTTTAAGTTTTTATGAATATATTATTTTAATAAGAAATCTCAATTGTTTAATATCTTTTCTTTCTACAGAGTAAAACCACAATATCCCATCAAACATGATGCCGATTTATCTGATGAATTGAAGGCATTAAGTCGACTATGGAGTTTAATGCAAGCTGAACGTAAATATTTAAATACTAGTATGATTGAAACAGAAATGGATGCGTTGTTAGAGGCTGTTGGTCGTGGTGGTTTCATAGTTGGTAGTGATTTTGACTATGGAGCTGCTTATCTTTCAGATCAGATGACAGTTAATACACCAGAATCTATCGCTGTCGGTGGTGGCGTTGTTGGTGCTTCGATTGGTCCGTCAGGTTTTCCTACGAATCCTATGTCAACTGTAATAACTACATATCACACTACAAGTTCTTCACCAAATATACGACATGTGAATTCAAATGTATTTACTGAATCATGGATTACTTCCAACGTAACAACAGTGACAACAATGACAACTACTAGTATTACCAGTGGTGGAGCTACACTTCCAAGACTGCGTTCACAGGTTATGCTGTTAACAGATCAACCATTAGAACGTCCTGGTGTTGGTTCACTTATTCTACCGTCAGCTTTAAATTCTACAACTTCACCAACATTACAAAATGCGGCTGTTCTAGCTGGAACTAATATTGCTCATTCGGTTGTCTCAAAGCGGTCCTCAGCTACTGGAGGTAAGTCGTATAGAAATGAATGAAGGGAAGTGTTCATAAGGGATTAATGTATATTTAATTTCGATAATTTCCTTTTTGTCCACGTATATCCTCTGAAAGAACCATATAATCAACAATGTTGAAGTTAGATGCCGCGATGTTAGGCAAACATGGCGAATCAGTTGATAAAGCAGTGAATCTTCATCGACTGAGGTTGGATGGGCTATATACTAAGTATGCCCAACCACTGTCTACCACAACACATAATATTTGGTGGTGTACGAGAAACGTAGGTGCAGCCAGATCAGGTTATGACACCAATCCATAAAGTCACTGACTGTTGGATGGAGCTGTACGAGTAAATACTAACTACATTGTTGATGCCGATGCAGTTATTTTAACTAATGAGTGGCGTGACCTAGAATAAGTCTCAAAGGTGTATATGCATACTGATACTGTTTTCATCTCCACTACACCCATTCATCACTACAATTCTCTCTTCTGATTTATTATGGGAACCGTTGTATAAATGTACTACATTTTATACTACTTGTGACTGATTGATCCCCATGTTCACATTCCATACAATTATAGATCAACTTTCAAGTATTTTTTCTTTCAGTGGTATATAAGAGACAGTCGTCTATGTTCGTCAATCTCAAGCGATACCTAGTTCTTCAATGAAGCGAACAGTTACACAGAAGATAGTTTTTGACATCATCTGTTTGTAGTTGAAAGATTAACAATCGAATCTCAATTTACTACACAGTTAAATTTGAATCTGCGATCTGATAGTTGTTATTTAAGTGGAGTAATGAATAATCCATCATTGTTTCACATTTTAAGACATATGGAGTTAAATGAAATATACTGAGATTGACTCATGTTAAAAATACCCTCTCATGAACTCTTAATTATTTCTTTGTGGTGATAATTTATCTTCTATTTGTTATAATGAACACTTCTTTTTTGGGTTAACAACCAGGATATGTTTGTGACAAAGTTGACTTAGTTCTTTAACTTAATGATTTATTTTATTATCAGAGTTTTGTAGCAGATAATACTGTTTTTTAACGTGTAATTCATCTTTATGCTATTTAACCGTTAAGTCGCTGATCCATAATATCATACGGTGCCTACATTTGTTCAAATCATCGATTAAATGGTAGTCAATAATGTTTATACTCTTCATCCATCTTGATTGATAGAATCCAATCACTATTTAAAGGTACATGACATTCATCATTAGTTAGTGATCGATCGATCGTACATATCACAGTTCTAAAGTGAGATAATGCTTATTTCAACTCCTGAACCAGAAATGTGATCCCTGATATGGAAAAGACGGATTGTTATGGGGCCAGAAATAGTCGCCGCCATCACTGTCTGGTATGCCCGTTTCCCTGAGTCCGTGGTTGTTTGTTGAGGATGTGCACGGTTGTGTGGAGCACCGTGCATTTGCACCATATTTTTAATGATACCAACAAACTCCGGTGGTCCGCTTAGGTGACTTAGGAGCTGTCTGGAAAACGATCTCTTCTAGACGAGGATCTGGTTGGTCTGGAGTGGATCGTAGCAATGGTGGCCTGTAATGATGCCAGTTGCTTTGTCAATTCTGCTAACTGCTGTTGAAAGTTGGATATGCTGCCTTTATCCTCTTTACCGGCACTTAGTACTGAGTTAACACCGTGACTATCTGGGTAAATTTGCATCATCTTGTCCGCCATATCTGCTAAATCATCTAGATTAACGGAGTTTCCATACACTGAGAATTTGTCTCACATTACGTGGTAGACGTTGAAATCACATTTGTTTTAGCAGGGTTTCGTCTAGCTTATATGGACGGACTTGCTAGCTGTTTCATATGTCTTAACAGCTGTGATGATCTGTTGTCTCCCAATTCACATGACGTTAACAGCTGTTGTAATCTTTTCTCATCTGAGACTGAGGTGCGCTGAATAACCACAGCCTTTATTTTTTCGTAAGGATCATTCTCAGGCACTTGGTCAATTAAGTCTCTCACCTCGGCTGCAATTTCTATGGGAAGTGCCCCAACTAAATAAGCGTACTTTGTTACTTGGGAAAGTATTTCTCTGGCTATGAATAATGCCTCTACCCTGGCAAACGAGATTCTAGGGTTGTTGGCTCCATAAACTGTGAGTCTAGATTCCGAAATAGAATTAACTGAACTTACAATAGTGTCAGCCGAATTCGGTAAACAAGTGAGGGCATCTACTGAGGGACTGTCTATGTCGATAAGTGTGTGTGGAAAAAAAACCAATGTGTAAGGTTAAAAAATAATTAAGCAATATAGCAATCAGAATAAACTCGAGGCTCACCAGATAATTGTGGTGGACCAAACAATATATGAACTCATAAATAGTAATAAAGTTATTGCGTAGAAACAGTAGTGTTATAATATATGTCATATGTTATGAACACAATAAAAATTTATGGACGTTACTTAAATCAGCTAGCTTATGCGTGTTCAGATTGGATTTCATACCAGAATCCACAATTATAGATGATTAATGATTACAATAAGATTGTTGTGCTTTCAGTGATATAGTCAAACGGAGCATATAACGTAAATGTGGCTTCAGTCTATAAATGTAGACAGTAGATGATTTACAGATCAGTTATCACAACCACGAGCAGTAGAGAACGAGAGGTGTGTGTGTATAGTAGTGTATTTGCTAGCAGTTAACAGCGTGTGTCATGCTATATGTATAACACAACGGAATAAAGTGTGTTCAGGGTCATGCAATCAAACAACATGTACAATCATTTTGCAGTAAATATATAAACTGTAGAACTAACACAATAAATACAAATAACATCAAGAACTATTTACAAAATAAGTTTATCATGTCTATCTCCACAAACGTTATTATTTTGTAATCTAACATAATCTGGGTGTTCATTGCTTCCTTTTCATGTCTGAACTATTACTGATATCTTGAATTAGCTAAAAGAACGTCTTATTGAAAAACCATCTTGTCTGTCTGAGACCCTCACTTTTTACGTCATTTTTTAGGTACATAAAACTGTACCTACTTGTTAGTAGTATAAAATATTTTGTACAATATTTCGCTTTTAATTAGGTAAACAAAGTGCCAGAACCAATGGAGAGAATTATTTGAAGCAAATATTTTTACAGAAACGTGAATTGATTTTAATCCTATTGGTATGTCATTAATATCGTTGTTCTAATTTTTGAAGATCATTTTAAACAAATTTACAATGTTATTCACCTTTGGATGCCGGCTCCGTGGTCTTGAGGTTAAGTGTTCGTACGCGATACCGAACATCCTGGATTCGAGTTGTTCATGCAGTATCGTGAATGCACACTGATAAGGAGTCCCATACTGAGACGAAACGGTCGTCCAGTGCTTCAAGGTTTATAAAAGTGGACTAGCTTAGATCAACTCATGAATTCAACTGTTAAATTTCACGAAAGTGTTGATGATGCTTTTCGAATAAGTGGCTGGTGTGAAAATTTTGTGTTCTGTAACCATATATTATTGCCTATGAGTAACTCAGTTGCATTTATATTCTGGTGCTACACTAAATAATGGTGAATTGACTGTTTCTTTATTGGTTTAAAGAACTTTTATTTGTTCGACCATACTGTTCCCGTCAAAGGACGTGTTTTTTGAAATACCTTTTGATCGTCAACAAATACTTCCTAATATTCAGCGTACTTATTTATTTCTAAAGACGTTTTCCATCTGCGTTTTCTTACGAAATTATTATCCCACTCAAACTGATGATATAGCAACAAAGGTCCCAAGTTCAGTACCTGATGAAGGGGTTGTAAATATTCACTATCGAGGCGTCCCATACTAGTACGTAACGACCTTCCAATACTTCCAGTTTCTCAATGCTACTATGGTTATGATGTGTTCATGATCTCAGTGAAATAAAAAAAAACTCCATGATCTTCATACTGATAGGTTTTTTCATTGTATTGCTTAAGTTGATAACACTATAATTCGTAGTATTAGCTAGCAGTTTAATTCTCTATGAAACATTGTAAACCGATTATATTTAATAGTCCTTATATATCCGAATATAATGTTTTACTGATCAAATTTAAAATCAGAGGAGATAGAAAAATGTATTTCTCATCGAAACCTGTGGGTGTACATAACATCCAGCCTTTAAATGTAGAAGTACTCTACTTAATCCCTTTCAAGTGTAATAAATTTCTCTCAACAATCAAAGCGTGAAATCAAACAGTTTATGCGAAGAATCGAAAAAGATTGGGTAACTTTTTTATTGTATTTCACTCCAACAAATATATCAGATTTTTATTTCTCATCTTAGATTATTCTTTTTTTCTTGGTAATAATATTTGATAGGCTTCAGAAATTGAACGACTTTCAGTATGGTTTAATCCACAAGGTTTATCTGATCGTATTGGAATTAGAGAAGCTGAAGTTGAAACTTGGCTTCGTGAAACATTACGTAAAAAATCCTGGCGTAGATGGATATCATTAGCATGGGATTTATGTCCACCAGTAGCTGTCTACATGCCACAAAGGTAAGTACATTAAATTATACCATTATATATCAAATTGATAAATGTCATGATTAGTTGCTCTGGAACTTACCACTTTCAGTTATTTGAATTGTTTTCAACAGCGAAATTCGTCGGCTATTACTACTGTGAATAAATTACTGCATCAATGTATTTCCACAGTTTATCGAGCGGATTCCTATGTATTAGGTAGCAATTACCAGTTATATTTTCACTATGAATAATAACTGTTTGTAAAGCCTACAATATGGTTTTTTTGCTTACTTCGATTTTGTCAATTAAGTGTATTTGCATACCAGAGTGTTAATATACACAAGGTCCTCATACCCAAAATTTATTTGACGGTTAACCACTAATGCGAAGTTCATTTAATATCAAATAATCGATTCAAGCTTTCAACATTTAAAGTCAATCCCCGTCATATTTTGTTATGTGGAGTACATCTGAGTCATACTGGCAGCGGGATGTTGTTCACGGAATTGAGAGGTAGAAAAGCGAATGTCCACACCAATGGTGTGCTCTCGGTCCTGAGGGAACAAATGGAGTATGAATTTATTCTTGGTTACCAGCTACTTTGGGTCCGCATCTCCTAAAATTGCTTCACCACTTTATGTATTAAACCTGTAGGTGAAAGACTTATAGAATGGCTCCCTAATAAAACCACGTGCTTCGTTTTGGGCCTCTAGGCAGTGTTCTGAGCCTCACACAAATCGAATGACGAAAAGTGATGCCTTCATGTTTGTGTTTTTAAATAAATAAATACGCAATCATTCCAGAGATGAGTGATTTTTTTTTATCGAAGAACGTTTTTTTTTCTTGGTATACTTAATAGCAAACTGCAAGTATCTCATTGAATACAAACCTAATGACATCGTCCACCTGTTTATGATTAGACGGAGAACGTTCACGGAGTAATGAAGCGAAGAATGTGGTTCAAAGTTGTTATCTTTCACCGATCTTATTCTCAGCACTGTACAATCACGTCCATATATACATATATGCAAATTAAATCGGTAGAAATAGATCTTCTCACTGGACCACATAGTTTTATTTTTCTTTAATTTCTTTGTTCAAAAACATTTTAAATACCAATGTAGATCATTTGTATATTTTTTTATTCTGCACATATTTTTTTCGGATAGATTTACTGGTTCAGATGAACTACGTCGTGAAGTGTCATTATTTGTAACAGCAAATCCATTGCTTGTAACTCATATCCCAGCTGCTTTACAATATTTAGCTACTTCAAGTAATATTGAAGACGGACGTCCTGAAGTTAGTAGGGTTTTTTTGTTCTTTATGTTTTTTAAACTATTTATAAATAAATAAGTAGTATATAATGTTCGTGCATGTTTTTCTGCATCATCTGTTGCACATGTCAGTATAATGAATCGTAACAATGATTATATTCATTTGACGAAGAAATATCTTGTTCCATTCCTAAATAGGTATTTTTTGTTACGAGTTACACAGGCATTTTTTATCTGAAAGTTAACTTTTTCAATGCATACACCTTCCGATAAATTTGATAATGATGAATTCTATTCTAACTAGTGGTTGTTAACAAAGTAACTGATTTTATTCTTCTACATGGTTCTTCTTTTGACTAAGCTTACTTCACCCTACACTTCCATATCAACTGACAAGTAAACGTATTCATTCTACAATGAATTACACCCTAAACTGTGTGTAGTTAAATACAGTCGTGACTTATATTCTACCGTTTTAAAGTGAATTTCTTGATTGATTCTTTTGTTCACATTTTTTTCTTCGATAAAAAAAAATCAGTTATCCCATATATTAACATGGTCACCTGTTGCACCGGTCGTTGCTCTATCATTCTTTTCACGTATGTATCCTCAACATCCATTAACACATCAATATGCTGTACGTGTATTATCTGATTATCCATCGGAAACAATGTTATTCTATGTTCCACAATTTGTTCAAGGTATTCGTTATGATAAAGTAAGCTAATCTCTGTGTGTATTTTTTGTGTAAATCTTAGTTTTTTTCCCATAGCTTGTATATTATTATTATTATTATTATTATTATTATTATTATTATTATTATTATTATTATTATTATTATTATTATTAAAACTGATTAGTTTTAAAACTACTTTAATTCAATATTTAGTCGTGATTGGATGTTTGTTTAGTAAATTGCCGGTTTCCGTAAAACGTAAAGGACTTTCAAACCATACCTCCGAGTATAATGTTGGGAACAGCTTATATGGACGTAGGTAATGGTAGTGTTAATCTGTTACCTGGAGAAAGACTTTTCTGTCTTGAATACATATACGGTATTGTCTTACTATACGACGATGCACACACAATGCAATCCTTACTGTGTCATCTGGCAATTAGTGTACGGAGTTATAGCATGTGTTTCTGCACCCTCTGAGTGCAAAGTATTTTCACTAAACTACGAGGATCCTGCGCCTGAAGTGACTCTTGGTAGTGATTAGTTAGAAGTAATCGAGAATTACGTGGATCTGGGTTGATGTGTACGTGCTGTCGGTGTTGTGATTGCTGAGATCAATTCTTGTATGGTGAAAGCCAGGGTGATTTATGTCAATCTAGGTCATCTTTTGCGCCTTCGTCGTGTTGGTCTAGTTGTAAAAGGTTGGATCTACATAGCGTCGATGAGAGCAGTCTTGCTCTATGCTTGTAAAACCTGATCTCTTCAAGTTGAAGATATTAAGCAACTCTATGTTTGACCATCATTGTCTCCAAAGGATTTCAAAACTATGTAAGTAATACAGAGTTTTGACAATTTATGTTCGGGCACAGTGACTATACTTCAATTAATGTTACCATTTTGATATACTGACTTCGGTGTCGATCCTTCTGTAACTTTATGTTACTTTTCTCATTAAAATGAATGAAATTTCTGTAAGTGAAAGAATTCTTTCTGGTTGTATTTTGTTAAACTAAACTGCTCCTCTCGTTATTATTATTCACGAAATCGAGTGTCCGGCGCTCTATCCGGATTGATGGATATGGAGGGTCCATTTAGGGAAGTTAGAAAACCTTGATCCCGAACCACCGGTGCATATGGGCTCCAGGATTCTAAGGGAACAAATGGCGTAATAACTTATTCTTGATCAGCGACTACCATGAGACTGCATCTCCTAACATTGCTTCACTGCCTTATGGATATACCTGTAGCTGAAAGGCTCATGGAATGGTCACAGATACTCACTACTGAGATGTTTCATATATTGTAATACAGTTGTACAAATATAAAATTGTTTTCTCTCTTCTTTTCTATCTTTCCTTTATAGTTAGGTTATTTATCTGAATCAATTGTAACTTTAGCTAAACGATCACCATTATTAGCACATCAATTATTATGGAATATGAAAACAAATATATATCGTGATGAAGAAAGTTTAAAATTTGATAATGAAATTGGTAATCATTTATTAGCATTATCAAGTATAATACAAAATAATTTCAATGGGCCAACTTTAGCATTTTATCAAAGAGAATTTGAATTTTTCGATCAAATCACATCAGTTTCAGCGAAAATTCGGTTAGTTTCTTTTCAGTATAGTGTTTTGTAGATTATTAAATTATTGATTGAGATCATGAACCGATCGATATTAGACCACCATTGAAAACCTGGAAGCACTGGAAGGCCGTTTCGTCCTATTGTGGGACCACTCAGTAGTGCATACCCACGATCCCGCCGTGGGATTCGAACCCAGGACCTTCGGTCTCGCGTGCCACCGCCCAACCTACTAGACCTCTGAGCCGACCGGTATCCAACGGTGATAATGTCTAACTTCAATCAATCCACGAAATTGCGTGACCATCTTCCATTATACCGAGGTAGATACCTGTCTATACCTAACACAGATTAGCTCCACTGGTCACAGCTTCTCATTAGAACTCCAAGAATTCCTTCTCAAAGCCAGTCACCAGTGAGCACATGGTTGAAGTTAGACATTAACATCGTTTGATGCCGCTCAGTGGTCTAGTAGGTTAAGCGTTCCCTCGCGGGACTGAAGGTCTTATACTCGAACTCTGCGACGGGATCGTGGACGCGCACGGCCGAGGGGTCCCACAATAGGACGAAATGACCCTCCGTTGCTCCCACGTTCTCAATGGTAGTCCGACATCAATCTGTTCCTGACCTCAGTCTTTTTTTTACATCGATTCTCGTACAAACACTTTTTTTCCGGGTTTTATGAGATTTTCTGTGTGTTGTGTTTGCTTTACGTGCGTTCTAATGTATTTTTTTTAAGGTGAACCATCGTTTTTAAAGTTCTGGTGACTGCACATTTTTGAAGCTGGACTGTTTTAATTGTGAAGTTTTTTTAATGTGCTTTTTTCAATGGAATTTAACTGGAAGAATGCCGCTTCTATTTATTATGTCATAATTTTCTTCACTGATGGGCTGGTAATCCGATAATTTTAGTGAAGTAGATGATTATTTCCTTTATCTATTAATCTGTTCACAATTGAGCTATTTATTTATGTGAAATACTTGGTCAAGTGTATGGTTTGTTACTGTGTTGTTTTTATACATCTATCAATGAACACTGGTCGATTCTTCGTCAATTAATAAGTATCGTGTTATGGAGGTTTGTTGAATTTTATCGAAATCACGAAATGATCTAAGTTTAATCATCAATAAAAATCCAGAAACACACTGGACGGCCGGTTCATCCTAGTTTAGCACTTCTCAGCAATGTGGATCGACGAAGTTAAGTGTTCTTTCACAAGGCCAAAGTTCCTAGGTTTAGTTCTCAGTTGCTGGATCGTAGATGTACATTGTTGAGGAGTCATCTACAAGAACGAACCGAACATTCACTATTTCAGCCTTTCAATGGTTAAACAAAACCTGTCAATTTACTGAATGTTGTTCAATTCTGAGAAGGGTAAATCATGCGAACAACAGCTCGTTCAAAGTAAGACAGCATTTCGTTTTTTATGACAATCAATCTGGTTATTATGATGGCATAAAAATGTAACTCAGGTCGCCAAAGTGATATTTTCACTGGTTAGGGTCTTTCTCCAAATTTTAACTGAACAGCTTTCGAAAAACTAGCACAACCAATCACCCGATGGATTTGATATCAAGGAATTCAGTCAGTTAATGATTTCATATACAACTATATTCCTTCAAATCAATGTGACTTATAGGAGGATAAATGAGTATTGAAAAAAATAGGTCGCGAAACAACCCTCCAATCCTTCATTTTTATCCATTCGGTCAATTTTAATATCAATTCGTTCCTTTGAGTTGAATATATCTAGCTTCTTAGTCAGTAAATTATATCCTTAGGGAACTGAATGAACTTTTAGAAATGATGGCTACTACGAACAGGTCACCATGCCATACGCCTGTTATTATTGCTTTCATTCGATTGAGGACATTTTTCCCTAATTTTACAAACGTATCTTCCTGTTCCTTTGCTAACCCTTGTTTTTTTATTATTTCTGGGGGGTGTGCTTATAACGGAAATTTCTGTGATGTTATGCCTCTGTTGATTAAACCGGTCAGCTGTCACTTGGTTGACTTGGAGTTTGAGTTAAAATCTACTTAGTTTGAAACAAAAAAGCGTTTATTACTGTTAACGTCTTTACAGAACAATTTAGCCTAGAAACTGACTACGAAAATCTGTTTATTTATTATTGAATAAAACGGGTGTTTAGTTCTGTCAGGTTTGAAATGGTGGTCTAGCTTGGATCGACTCATGAATTCAACTGTGAAGATATTACTGTAAAGTTTACTCTGATGGTTCTTTTTTTCCTCCTGAATTTTATAGATCATACCCTAAAGGTGAAGCACGTAAAAAGGCTTGTCTAGAGGCATTACGTGAAGTGAATGTGAAACCTGGTTGTTATTTACCATCGAATCCAGATTCTGTTGTATTAGAAATTGACTATATGTCTGGTACACCAATGCAGTCAGCAGCAAAAGCTCCATTCTTAGCACGATTCAAGGTTAGAAATAAATTTAATTGTTTAAATATTGTAACAAATCTGTATAAGTGTTGTTCATGTCTTCTTTTTTTATGAATCCACTTTATATGTAAGCAATAAGTTGATTTATGACTGGATAAGTGCGATTCATTAAATACTCTCTGTTTTGGATAGAAATAATTTTACTGATCTACAATTATGCCGATTCATCAGTGAAATTCATAGAATTCGTGATTTCCTTCTCCTAAATTGATTGGAATATCAGATTAATGAGTAAATAGTTTGCAGGAGGATTCCTATTTACCATCTGTAACTGTATGGCTGGCTGATATTAGACGATTGACCCATTTAATTATAAGTTTGCTGTAATTGGATGTCGACCCAATGGATCCACTTACTTACGCCTGTTACTCCTCGTGAAGGAACATAGGCCGCTCACCAGCATTCGCCATCCAACCCTGTCTTGGGCAATCCTTTCCAACTCCTTCCAGTTGTTATTCATCCTTTCCATATCCGCTCTTATTTCCCAATGTAATGTGTTCTTTGGCCTTCCTCTTTTCTGCCTTCCTTCAGGATTCCAGGGCTTATCTCGTGATGCAGTTTGACGATTTGCGTATGTATGTCCTATCCATTTCCATCGTCTTTTCCTAATTTCTTCTTCAGCTGGAAGTTGGTTTGTTCTCTCCCACAGAAGGCTGTTGCTGATGGTATCCGGCCAATGGATGTTGAGTATCTTGCTTAGACAGCTATTTATAAATACTTGCACCTTTTTGATGGTGGTTGTTGTAGTTCTCCAAGTTTCAGCTCCATATATTAGAACTGCCTTGACGTTCTTATTGAAGATTGTGACTTTGATATTGATTGACAGACAGTTGTTCTGAGTTCGATATGTTCTTCAACTGTAGGAATGCAGCCCTTGCTTTGCCAATCCTCACCTTTACTTCTGCATCTGAACCTCCTTGTTTATCGATGATGCTTCCCAGGTATATGAAGGATTCTACCAATGGATCCAACAATCAAGTATTTTCAGCGAGATGTAAAGATCCTGGGTCTGTGGATGCTCTGACGGCAGAGTAAACAAGGAACCAGAGTTTATTCATAATATACTAATTAAAATGGGTTACATGCATCATTATCAAAAGAAATATATATCAAAAGCCAATAGGTTTATTTAAATAGTATATTTTGTTTGTCGTTTTAAAACCTTGATGTTAGAATGATACTTTGTTACGTTTCTATACACTTGTCTGAACGCAATATTCACTTATATATTGTTCCACATAAAATACAATTCTCATACCTATATTATATCATTTAATGTTTTATTGTTGATACCTAGGTTCGTCGAGTCGGTGTTCAAAATTTAGAAACTGAGGCTATCAATGCAGCTAAAGAGGCACAAAATCTTACAACTATACCTGACGATCCTTCATCTCAACATATGCATCATCATCGTGATTCCATAGATGGCATTAATCCAGTTGTGTAAGTTAGACAGATCGAAAGATATATCACTGTAAGAGGTTTATGGAGTTTTGTAATTTACATTGCCGATTGATCTTAGTTTGGCAACCATTGAAAACCAGAGAGCACTGTACAGCTGTTTCGTCCGAATATGGGACTACTCAGTAATGTACATTCACGGCTCAAGTGCTTATCGAAAGCAAGACTTTTAAGTCTGACGGTGACATTCAAACCACTAAGTCGACATCTACTTTACCTGCATCATACTCGACATAATTGAACTGCGCTGGTCGCAATTTATTATGACTTTTCGAAATTAATCTCTATTGAGCTCATGATTTTTATTATGAATAATGTAAGGGAGTTTGGAGAGGTTTTTAAAGTTTCTAATCAAGTTCAGTTTGCAATAATTATATATCTATATTCAACAAAAAAATATAAATCTCAGAAAGAAAAGTGACTTGTCGACAGGTAATTCATAATAAAACGTTAGGGTTACAGTTTAGGGTAATATTACTATTGCCATCCTACTAGAAGGCAATAGGATTTTTGAAGTCTACGAAATAAAACGGATTGTCATTGGTTCATCAGCTGATCAGAAATTTAGCATGTATCCCATAAACAACGTAAAATCTGAGACATTTGTGCAACAGGTCACATTCCCACATCATATTAATACGATATTGTGGAGGTATCAAGATAAACACTAGTTATATATAAGTAATAACAGTGTAGACAATATGATTTGAAAAGGAAGAATGAGTTCCCAAAATAAAAGTTATCAGTATTAAAGATAATTAGTGAGTCCATCCGACCTTTCGGGATTGATTCTGAGTCATTTCAGCTAACATCTCCAGTCGTTTGTTGAGATAATCGAGCAGACCCTAACCACCTACTCTGAGCCTACGTACATGACTCAGTCCAACAGTAATTTACTTGATAGGCTGATGTTATATCTTGGTTCAGATGGTTCTAACCTTTTTGCAACTTACTCCTACACTAGCAAGCTGTTATGACTTTTACCGTGTTAATTACCCCGTGACTAGACCGCCGATTGAAACACGAGTTATATGACCTTGGCACTGTGCCGAACCAATGACGCGTTAACTAGTACATGCAGCCTAGAGTCAACTCCGAATCATTATTGGTCTCTCTCGCCTTGTCCTGCCCGTTCACTCAAACAAGCAATTTCAGCCTCCACTGTATGAATATTTCATACATATGTGCTTAATATACAAGCAGACCAAACATCATCATGTCATAAAATAGAAAATAACATAAAATATGGTTGTTGTTTTTTATTTTGAATAGGAAAATGCTTTCCCAGGCAGGAATAAAGTACAGACGACGTAATAGTCATCATGAATCACCGAATAGCCCATCTAGACAAACTCTAGCATCAATTCCTCATAAATACAGTACAGTTGCATCACGTGGTAATAAAATTCGTCAACCTACCGCAAGTGGTGGCAGCACAACGAATCCCACAGATGATAAACAACTAACTACATCCACGAAATTAGGTCATGTATTCATGCAAGCCTGTATTTTCAAAGTTGGAGATGATGTTCGTCAAGTAAGTAATTATTACCATGGAAAACGAATCAATGATAATCGTTTACTGTTGCTAACTAACTTAAAAAGCGGTGGATTCCTCATATCCACCAACCCGATTAAAGCACCGGACATTCGCTTTTCGTTCTCTCAATTTCGTAAACAACACCCCAGTGAATAGGAATTCCCTAACAGTGGCTGTATACACGTTGCCATTTGAGAATATTTTGAGAGGGAGAGCTGAATCTCTTTAGGGGTCAATTAGAAGTTGGTCTAATATAGACAATCCATATTTGTCCGCAATGATCTTTGATCTCCAGCACGTTAATCTCCCATAGTTCAATTGTATAAAAAACTTACCAAAACATGATTATTAGATGAGATAAATGGTCCGCATACACGACAATTTCACTCCAAACACAATACTAATTTTTGTACATTGTGAATTTCAGACCTAATTTGCTGTTAAATTTCGTATAATCAGGTGTTAAAAGCATAATAAATCAATTTACTAGTCATTTTAATGACTTCTGATTGAAAATCTTCACTGAATCAAATACGCGGTTGAAGTTTTTTTGCGTGTGCTGTTCTGTTTTTCGAGCTGCATAGTTTACCTGTGAAATTCTCACTATCCTTTATAGACAACCCTCATCATCATCAGGGAAAACTTTAAAAAAGTATTGAACATTTTGAATCTCTGCACATATTGATTAACAACTTATTCTGATCTCTTTGAATTTGATTGTTCTTTGTACTGATGCAAGTTCAGAAGTTAAACCAAAGAGAAAAAAAATAATGGAAATAAATATGAAAATAATGAAAAGACAAGGATTAACAACAATCCTTCAGATATTAAAGTCATCTGAACAAGTTATTATTAATATGTTCTGGAATTTGTTATGTTCACTACTACTTATCCGTCTATCAATAAAGGGACGAGTATGGCAGTCCGTTCTGTTTTAATTTACGGCAGCGAAACATGGCCATTAAGAGTAGAAGACACTCGTAAGCTACTAGTATTTGACCACAGATGCCTTAGAAATATTGCTGGCGTCTGCTGGGATCACCGGGTAAGTAATAGTGAAGTTCGACGCAGGGTATTAGGGAATGATGGCAAATCAGTTGACGAGGTTGTAAATCTTCATCGATTGAGATGGTTGGGCCACGTGTTACGTATGCCTGAACACAGATTACCACGACATGCAATGCTAACCGGTGTTGGAGATGGTTGGAAGAAAGTTAGAGGCGGCTAAACCAAAACGTGGCATCAGTGCTTGAAGTCACTAACTTCTAGTCTGAGCCATGTTGGTAGATGCAGACTACTTGGTTGGGTTCCGCGTGACTATCGTAACCAATGGTTGGAGACTTGGTGACATGGCTCAGAATCGATCACAATCGCATCAGTGTATACACTCTTTGTTTTCCCTTAAACTAAAAGATTAAAATCGCTTCATATCTTTCTTTCTACGAACCAATTCTTTCTTCTTGTACTATATCTCTATATGCAATCTTTCTCTTATATATTACCACCTTTGACCTAATCACTGCTATGAATCCGGTATTCATCTTGTTGTGCTGATGCGGTATGGCAACTTGGACCGATGCATATATGTACCTGGTCTTACGTTGTAGCTGACTGACTGACTGACTACTACTTAAAGTTTGTCTTGATCATATTGTCTAGAATGGTATTCTAAGTTTCACAATTAAACTCTCTAGTCCAAAAAAAAAAATTACCTCTGAAGTTATTCAGTTGAACAATTCCAAATCTTCTTCATCACTTCGCTTAAATTCATTTACTTCAATTATTGCAGAAAAAAAAAGTTTAACAAACCAACATTTATATGATTTCAAGCCTATTTCAATTGCATGAATGAAACTATTCATTCTATTGATGACAACATCAATCATTTATATGATTCCAATTGAATTGAAATACATCTGTTTAATCATTGCATATAAGAATAATAATAATTGACAGATATTTCAATGTTAATTATCATTTATTGTTGGGCTTTTTTCTTTTTTCTCTCTTTTCTCTCTTTTTTCTCTTTTCTCTCTTTCTCTTCCTCTTTCATGTTATTTCACATTTATTCTTTACAAGGATATATTGGCATTACAAATTTTACAATTATTTAAAAATATATTTGAAAGATGTGGATTGGAATTATTTGTTTATCCGTATAAAGTTGTTGCAACTGCACCAGGAGTAAGTTGGTTAATAACAGTTATTATTCTTATTATTATTATTAGTGGTATAAACATTATTATTTACCTGATGTTGAATTAAACAGAATGTATAAAGTAGGATTGAAGGATACTTGTAAGTTCACTAGTATTTGATCACAGATATTACTCGTATCCTTTGGGATTAGCGAGTAAGTAATAGTGAAGTTAGACGCAAGGTATTAGGGATTGATGATAAATCGGTTGATGAGTTTATGAATCTTCATCGACTGAAATGGTTGGACCACGTATTACGTATGCCTGAACACCGATTACCACGACGTGCAATGCTGACTAGTATTGGAGACGGATGAAAGAAAGTAAGGGGTGGCCAAATTAAAACGTGGCATTAGTTCTTGAAGTCACTAACTTGTAGTCTGAGCCATGTTGGTAGATGCAGACTACATGGTTGGTGTCCGCGTGACTATCGTAACCAATGGTTGGAGAGTCTTGGTGACATGGCTCAGAATCGATCACAATGGCGTAGGTGTATACACTCTTTGTCTTCCCTTAAACTGGATACCTTTCTTTCTACGAACTAATTCTTTCTCCTTATATGAAATGTTTTTTAATACCATTGAAGTAACTACTTCTATGAATTTAGTGTTACTGAGGCATAGCATCTTAGACCGGTGCATATGTGTGCCTGATCCTACGTTACAGATAAATTGTTTCATGAACTTTCTGCTAATTTTACAATCACTAATAATAGGAAGCTGTCGGACGAGCGTTTCATCGTATCGTGGAACCCCACGCTCCCCTTGAGATCGATATGATTGGTTAACTGACATTGGAAATGTAGACTGGAATAGGTGCTCATCGTAAAGACTAAGTTTCGACCCCTCACTAAAGTTATTAGTGTACACTGATGATTAATTTAAGCGAAAGGTCAACAAAATAGTTGTTTTCCATTAGATCCTCATCAGGTTTTACTCTAATGTGCATCAGTATATAATGCAGTTAACCTCTGTCTATCTTTCTTGACTCGACCTTTGGTGCTTCTTCAACTAAAGGATAAATTACCTGATTCTGCCATATCTATGTGTATCTACGAATTGAGCTGCTCCTATGGAGAAAGCTATATTGGGCGCACAACCAGACATCTGAGCCAACGAATTAGTGAGCACCTCCTCTCGTGGTTAAGAAAGGATATCGTCAAAGCAATGCTGAGCTCTGTTCTATCATACTTCATCGATAGCGGTCATGTAGTAGACAGAAATAGGTCATTTGAAATAATTTATCATATTCTTACTAGTTTTGCTTATGAGTTTCGATCTCATCTGTTACACATAGCAGAAGCCAAAGAGATACGAGCTAACAATTTAAAGATCTAATCGAAAAGCTGTATTTATTTTAAAAAAATTTCCCCTTTTAGCGTGGTGTCATTGAATGTGTACCAGATAGTAAGTCACGTGATCAAATTGGACGTCAAATTGATGGCAAGTTATATGAATACTTTTTAAGTATATATGGTGATGAAACTAATCCCAGTTACCAAACGGTATGTGAATATTTAGTTTGTAAACAATTGTTCTGTTGTTGTTTTTCGTATTTGCTTACATTTGGTTTTTCCATAGACATTAAAATATAAATATCTTTTTAAGAAGTTGTGATAGAGAATAGGCTGAAATAGTTATATTTTAGGTTAATTTACTCTACACAACAGTAAATTATGTTTCACTATGAATAATAATATCTCTCTGATGGCTCGAAAATGTATTGCACACATACATCTACCTACCTACCGTTCACTCTGTTATTATGTTATGGTTATAAAATGAGTATGAGGTAAAGTCATCCATGACCCAAATATTTCAATGTTAAAGTCTTAGAGTGTAAACATAGATGAAACTGGTTCAAATCCCTCATGAGCTTATCAGTCCTCTCTAAATTGTAGACATTCCTTATCAAAGACTGTCAACTAGTACGAAACCTTATTCGAGCAGGGTCTATTTTCGACTACTCTCAACCTCTTAACAGTGGGTTTTTTTTTGAAAGAAATATAAAAGTATGCAAACTGAGATATAACGTCAGTTCGTTGAGTCAATTGGCCAGTTGACTTAGGCGGTAACAAAAATATACAAATTTCCACGTTTGATCTCTATTTGTCGGTTCTTAACTACAGATTTATTCTACGATTCGTCGTCCGTTTCTTACAGATTCCGATTTTTGGTGAACTTTTGCTCTTTTTTTTATCATTTAAAATCGTATCCTCACTAGTCTCCCACTTATTGTTTAATTAATGCTTTATCAGTACAAGGTTTTGTGAAGATTGTAAAATTTTCATAGTTTAAGTCAAGGGTTGATCAGTTGTTCTGTATTTGTATGGAACTCCTTAACAATGTGCATTCGAGACTCTGGACCTATGGACTCGCACACAAGTGCTCAACATTTACAGGTCACCAAGTTAGTGTCCCTTAGTTTATATCCAACAGAGTTCAATGATGTCATGTGTGAATTAATTGAAGTACAATATATATATATATATATATACCATTTGATCCCAGTTTGTTGGTCTGAATATCTTGGATTCAATTCTCTTTGATCAAGTTACTTGATGCATATTTCTGAGTCATTTTATACTTGAACAAAATAACTATCTAATCTTTCCTAGTTTTCAATAATAAACTAGTCAAGATGAATTCATTTATTTAAGCTATTGAATATTTCATACTTATTATCATGATGATTAATTTCGATTTCAAATAAACAAACAATAATGTTTGTTCATTTGAACTATTTCCTCTTCTATATATCTCTTTATGTTGTTTGTATAGTAATAATAATAATAATAATAATCATTTCGGTATTCATCATTGTCATTATCATCGACATTTATTAATATTTAATGTTGAAGATTATCGGTAATTTATTATATCTACCTGTGTGTATCCAACAGAATCCTATCACATTAACTAACTAACTAATTAGTCTTAATATTTCACTCATTTTTAATTATCATCTATAGAGTCAATGATCTTCAATATTGTTTTGTGTATAATATTGATTATATAAAAATCTCAATTATAGAGATTCATATAAGATCTGTATCCATATAGAAATAGCTTACCGATTAGATCAATTCACTAAGTGGATTTCTTATGATAACAACTATTTATATTGTTCATTCATGTTTATGAATATAATTGTGTATGTTGAAGGTTGGGGATGTAGGGAAAGGGGTATCTGATGTGAAAATTTGCCGAATTATTGAGAGAAATAAAGAAAGAAAGACACAAAAAAAGAAGGAATACAAAACATAAATTATGAATAGGATTGTTAACTTATTGGAATAGAAAAGTAGGATTGAAGAGAAACAGGAAAAATACATAGGTATGTTAATAAAATAATAACAACAAGAAGGAAAAAGAAAAACGAAGTTCACAAAATAATCATAAAATTGATGTTAATCAGTTTTAATGTCACATGTAGGTATATGTGTTATTTTGTGTTGAATATATACATGCTTTCGAATATAGTATGTTAAAAGGGAGGTCAGTTAATAACGCTTATTCTCTTTATCCTTATGAACGAGTATAATGAATGTCCAACACTCTTTTCACCAGCTAATAATGTTGATGTAGTCACTTTTAATTAACATTGAAGTGAATTACCACAATTCAAATAATGAAGTTATGACTTGTAGCGTCCAATTACATCTGATTGTGAGATTATGGGTTTTACCAATCCTAATCAATGTTCGTCCGATTTTACTCAAATTTGATTACAGTTGACGAGAACTCAATGATTTTCGAAGTCTGAACGATTAGGAGATTCTTATACTAGGAACTGGGATCCATTCAATTGAATTCGAAGGAAGTCAGGATACGTTGATATTTCAAAAGTTCAAACTCGTCATAAAATAACTACAGCTGTGACCTCAAAACACGTAAGAAAAATTTCAAACTAAGGACAAAAACAACCAATCAGATCAATAGAGTATTAAATAATTGAAAAACAGTGACCGAGAGCTTTTTTGCACGTCATAGATACTAGGTACTTTGAGTTGCTCCTTCCAGATCTAAAGGTGGCATGGGTTTTGCTGTGGTGCCTGGCTTTGATTCCACAACGTTGGTTGCTACTGTAGCCATGTATACAACCTTTAGTACAAATCATTATTTGTTTGTTTTATTTCTAAGTAACTAAAACACTTGATGTAATTCATTCTATTCAAGATTAACGCTTAATTAATTCGTTTGATTTCTCTCTCCCTCCATCCCTTTTGCATATTGATTTTAGGCTCGTCGAAATTTTACATTAAGTTTAGCTGCCTACAGTGTATTTCTTTATTTAATACAAATTAAAGATCGTCATAATGGTAATATTATGATTGATAAAGTTGGTCATATTATACATATAGGTAAGTGAGAATAGATAAAAGATTTCTTTTTATTTGTAACTATGGTCACAGTCACTTTATTTTTTTGTGTGATGTTGTTGTATTCTCGATAGTTTGGAATGGACAGATTTCGCTGTCATTTCTGCACAAAATAAATCATAAATGATCTATTCCATTAAGTTGTATACTCGAGTATTGTCAGACGTACGAGGGCGGTTTTTACTTGTCATTCGTTCATCCTGTGGAAAGATACTCTGTGAAAGAAACTAGGTTGAAGAGATAGTTTTAATAACCTAAAAGTATGACTGCACTGTTCAAGGGACAACTGCTTGAGACCCGTCATCACTCGACATTGCATACACTATATTTTAAATTAGGTGATTTAAAATTAGGTGGTTCTATGCTCAATGGTAACCTCTCAGACTTTCAATTTGGGTGATCTGACTTCATATCCACTTTTGAGTATCCCTTTCTTCATTGTCCCCATACACCTTGCTGATGAGTCTCAACCAACCACTTAGTATCACCGATACTATTTCGTTGCTCAAAATGAAGTAGGTGGGAAAAGGCTTGAATCCTAGAATCTACTGGTTGGAAAGCAAGAGCTTACACCATTAATCTATTACTTCACATAAATAATAAGGATTTAGGAAGGAAATCTGCTTTACCCGTTAGTAATTGCAAGCTTGACATATTGAACACATCATTAGGGTTGGTAGTTACGGATTACATATTCATTATTTATTTACAGATTCAGATTTATTCCATCTGTTGCGATTCTAATGACTAAGCATTCGTAGAGAAACCTGAAGGTTTTAGCTTTGATTGTTTGTCGAAGTAATGAGTGTGTGCACTTCTGAGAAGTCTTGTACTAGGATAACTCATCTAATCAATATTCTCTGGTCTCCAATGATACTCCAACTGAGATCAATCTACAACGAATATAAACTTCAAATTGAGATATTTTCAATTATTTTAGTACATAGACATGTAATTTTTCCCTGAATTGGTTTGCATGTTTTCATCTATTGTATTTTCTGCTACGTTCTTCTCTCCCTAATTTCGTTAATACGTCTAACAGACTACTGTAGTGTTTTTACATAATCATAATTAAAATATTAAGATTTTCACGATGTAAGTCCCTAGTTTGAATCTCACTCTACCTACGTGGATATTCAAGTAGTATTAATCCTGTGTTTCATATTGTGACTCACCGTCACCGTCAAACCTGTGTACTTAGTAAATAAATTAAATAAAATTAAACTAAATATATTCACCGAAGTAAAAATATTTTTGATGAGAGAGCAATCGAGTCCTCCAGTCTTGTAGACTTTGAGTCAGTCGCCCGCCAACTGTTTTAGAAAATGTTTTACACAATATCACGAGTTGATTGAGGGTCGTAGAATCAGGTACGGACGTAGACGCCTTCACCTTGAAATAACCCAAACGGTTCTGATTGGCTCGTCCATAAATTATAGTCTCATCAAACTATGAATCTAACAGTCTTTACTGTCCTTCTATCAGTCCGTCAGCTACAACGTCGAACCTCCATATCATACCATATGATACAAGGAGAAAGAATTAGTTCGTAGAAAGAAAGGTATCCAGTTTAAGGGAAGACCAAGAGTGTATACACTGATGCCATTGTGATCGATTCTGAGCCATGTCACCCAGAGTCTCCAACCATTGATCACGATAGTCTTATGGACCCCAACCATGTAGTCTGCGTCTACGAACATGGTTCAGACTAGAAGTTAGCGATAATTTTTCTATACTAATTATAAAATGTTTGAAGAAAAGATGTTTTAATGAAAAAGTTTTTTTTTTTTTCTTTTCTTTTTGTTTTTACAGATTTTGGTTTCATGTTAGAAAGTAGTCCTGGTGGTAATTTAGGCTGGGAAAGTGATATGAAATTAAGTAAAGAAATGTTTATGATTATGGGTGGTCGTATGGATAGTCCATCATATTTATGGTTTGAACATTTATCTATACAAGCATATCTTGCATTAAGACCATATCAAGAATGTATTGTATCATTGATTTCATTAATGTTAGATACTGGTTTACCATGTTTTCGTGGACAAACTATTAAATTATTAAGACAACGTTTTGCACCACAATTATCTGATCGTGAAGCAGCTGCATCATATTTACGTATTATACGTACATGTCTTGCACATTGGCGTGATAAATCATATGATGTTTTACAATATATGCAAAATCAAATACCTTATTAAAATTATTTTTAATTCATTCTCAACAATATGTATGTATGTTGTTACATATGATGTAAACTCTGAAGCATAATGATAATATCCCCTGAAACAAGTAACGCTCAATTTCTTTCTCTCTCTCTTGTCCACCCGTCCGTCCGTCCACGTGCACGCTCTCGCGCTTGCATTAAATCAGTGAATTATCATTTCTTATTCAAATGATCAATTTATCCATGAATATATTCCCTTCTTCAAGATAATACTATACTATACCATATATTCTATACAATCATAATTATATTCTATCTGTGATGATCTATACTGATTAAACTATGTATATTTTATGCTTAGTTTATGGATTAATCTTTATTATTATTGTTATTACTATTGAAAATTCCATATGTTGTTACGTCACCATGTTAGAAAAACAGAAAGAAGAAGAAGAAGAAGAAAAGAACAGGTAATTCGGCGCACCCCCCACCACCCTATTTAATCTTTGTTGTTACTATATTATTATTATTATTATTATTATTATTATTATTATTATTCGTTGTCGTTCCTGTTTACCTTATAATAGTTGTATAATTGATTCTTCTCTTATTCTACAATGAAATAATCATTCTAACTACATTTTCATATATGTAAGTATGTGAGAATGTATGATGAAAAGCACAGGATTAGTGAAATAGATAATCTTTATCTATGTATATTGTATTTCAGTCAATATGTCTAAGAAGAACTATCACTTTCTATTTCTATACCAACTATCTTCTCTTCTATATTCTATAAATACATGTATGTATTCTTCAAAATTGCCTATTATATTTACTCTGTTATCTTTTCTCCAGATTAAAAAGTGAACCAACCAACCAACCAAACAAACAAACAAATCTATTGAACTTAAATACAAAGATCGTATTTATTTGTTTTCTTTATTTAATATAAATTTCCTATTTTATGAAAGATCCGATCTTTCTATTTGATCTTAATATAATGTGTTTAATTTAGTTGATTATAATGTATGTAGAGCTTGACACTTAACCTTTTAATGCCCTATTAGGATTGAGGGTGAGGAGAGATAGTTCTTCCTTCAAAATTTCTCATAGCTACTGCCATGGAAGTCTACTTACTACTTCTGGTGACGGAGTTGTTGTTTACGAATAGAGAGAATGAAAAAAGAATGTTCGTCTCTTTAATCGGGTTGGTGGATATGGAGGATCCATCTAGAAGAGTTGGAAAACATTCATTCCAAACCAATGGTGCACATGTGGTCCAGTATCATTAAGGAAACAAATAGTGTATGAACTTATTCTTGATCACTGACCACCATGAGACTGCATCTCCTTATGATGCTCCATTGCGTTGTGCATTAGACCTCTGGGTCAAAAGCTCGGAAGTCCCCCCTCACCTAAGAAAATTACCTATAGCATTTTAGGCACCTAGATCACACATAAATTCAATGATTTACGTGGCACATACATTTTGGTCTCCCTTTGTACCAATGTTTTAGTATTTTAATAAGTAAATAAACCATCATGACCAATTCTAAGACAGATCAGCTGATATCAACTACTGATCGCTGTTATTAAGTGACCCTCACCTACGTAGTCTACATCTACCAACAGTGTTTTAGTCGTGAACATTCTAAATTATTTCATGAAGTGAAATTAGAAATTTATAGAGCTTTATTTTTATGAACAATTATATTAAATTAATTAATTACTGACTACTAAGAGATGCACACTGCTAGTGTAGTGCACGAGAACACAAGTGGGGACAATAGAATGTATTTGAATACTAAATTACAGAACAACTTAGTAAAATCTGAGAACCATACAGTAAATTCTTCATTTGCAAAATGTCAATCAATTGTTTCAGACTTCGTTGTTCCTTCGTTAATAAATAATTTCAATAAACACTTGTAACTTCTGGATGGTGGCTTTTGTAATTCTCCAAGTTTCCGCCCCATACAGTAGAACTGTATTGAAAATTGTGACTTTGGTGTCGGTTGACAGACATGTTTTGAATTCCAGATATTCTTCAATTATAGATATGCTGGTCCTGCTTTGCCGATCTGCACCTTCACATCTGCGTCAGATCCATTGTGTTCATCAATGATGCTGCCCAGTGATTTTGCCCACCCCGTTGTCCAGTGGTTATGGAGTTTCAATTTCATCTTGGCGACCAGCAGATGGTGATCTGATGCTATGTTAGCTCCTTTCCTGGTTCTCACATCATCCATCGTCCTCTCGAACATTGTGTTGATACAGAATTGGTCGATTCGGTTCTGTGTAGTGTGATCCGGTGAAGTGCATGTGGTTTTGTGTATGCGTTCATGTGGGAATATAGTGCCGTCTTTGACCGGTTTATTGTAGGCACATAGGTTTGAAAATCTCTCACCATTTTCGTTCCTTTCTCCCAGTCCATGTTGTCCCATGATGTCTTCATATACGGTGTTGGCCATTCCAACCTCGGCATTTAGTTCTCTCATCAGAATGGTCAAGTCCTTTTGTTGGGCACTTCTCGATGGTTGACTGCAGCCTATCGTAGAATTAATCTTTGACGCCTTCATTGTAGTCGTTAGTAGGCGCATAGTATTGGATGACGTTCACTGTAATGCCCTCTTTCTTTGTTTTGAAGGAGGCTTTGATGATCCTTGCTCCACGAGATTCCCATCCTATAAGTTTTTGGTGGAGTTTTGTTCTCTGAGCTGGATGGTTTGGTCGTGGAGCTTTCATCGTTCTTCTGAACGACATCATCAGCACAAACTTCAGATAGAAGTGAAGTGTTTGAATTTCTCCATATGTGTCTCAAAGCTTGTTCTGTGCACCTCGACGTTGATTGGTTCTTATTGACCTTAAATTTGTCGTTGTTTACTTCTTTGTTTTGGTTGTGTCTCCCATTGTTTTGATTTTTGTTCTTATGTTTGTGCATGATTTTTCTGATTGGTTGATAAATTGGATTGATTTCAATATGCTTGTTGATTGCTAATTGACCTGAGTGCCAGGCTTCTAAAAATTCTCTGGTGTTTTTGGAGTTTCCTCTGTCTAAGATTTCCACATTTTTCCAATCGAATGAGTGTCCGCAGTTGTCCACGTGTATTGATATAAGTGAAGAGATATCATGCCGTTTGACTGCTAATTGATGTTCATGTAGGCGAAGGTGAAGGGGGCGTCCGCTTTGTCCGATGTAGTGTTTTTCGCAGTTGGCACAATTTATTTTGTAGATGATGTTTGATTTGTTTTCCTTTGTTATTTCATCTTTTGGTTTGCATAAGATTGATTGTAGTGATTTTGTCGGTTTGTGTGCCACACCTATTCCGAAGGTTTTCAGCAGTCTCGTCGCTGTTTCTGATATTCCTTGTATATATGGTAGGGTGATCCTTTTGTTGATTTTTGTGCTTGACTTGAGTTCTAATGCTGCGTGCGGTTGGTATTTTTTGATGAAGTTGATGGGGTAGCCGTTCTTCTGAAATACATCCTTTAGGTATTTCTCTTCATTTCTTCGTGCTGCCAGTGTGCTGCAGTGTGTCCTCGCCCTCTTGAACAAATTGTGTACGCAGTTGATTTTGTGAGCTCTGGGGTTGTTGCTATTGTAGTTGAGAATTTGATCTGTATGGGTCGGTTTCCTATATACCTGAGTTTCCAGTTTTCCTGTGTCGGTTCTAGTGATCAATACATCCAAGAATGCTAGTTGGTTGTTTGACTCCTGTTCCATGGTGAACTTGATGTCATCGAAGACGTTGTTGATCAGGTTGTAAGTGTTTTCTAGTTCATTCTTTTTGACGATGACGAAGGTGTCGTCTACATAGCGAATCCAAATTTTTGGTTTGATCACTGGTAATATCGCGGCTTCTAGTCTTTGCATCACTGCCTCTGCGATCAATCCTGATATTGGTGATCCCATTGGTGTCCCTTTCGTTTGTTCGTAGATTTTGTTGTTGAATTGAAAGTATGTTGTTAGGCATAAATTGATGAGTTCCTGTAGACTTTGAATTTGAAGCTTCGTGTATTTGGTGAGGTTTGTGTCGTTGTTGAGCAGCAGGGATATAGTTTCTTTTGCTAATTTTGGTTCAATTGAGGTGAATAGTGCTGTCACGTCGAAGGATATCATCAGTTCGTCGTTGTTGATTTGGATGTCCTTAATTTGGTCCAGGAATTGTGTAGGGGATTTGATTGAGTGGTTGGCTGAATCTACTAAATGTCTCAGTATTCTTGAAATTTCTTTTGACAAATTGTACGTTGGTGTTCCGGGGAGTGCTACAATTGGACGTAGTGGGATGTTTGGTTTGTGTATTTTGGGTCTGCCGTAGAATCGAGGGAGTACTGGTCCGTTGGATTTCATTCTCCATTGTTCTTGTTTTGTTATTTCTCCTGCTTTGACTAGCTTGTTTAAGGTCTTTGAGATTTGGTTGTCTAATTTTTTGACGGGATTTGTATCCATCAGTTTGTATGTGCTCTTATCTTCCAGTAGTTCTTCGGCTTTTTTGACGTATTCTTCTTTGTCCATGATTACTGTGGTGCGTCCTTTGTCCGCTGGTATTATGACAATATCCTTTCTATTTTTGAGTTCTTTTAAGGCCTTTTGTTCTTGTGGAGTCAGTTGGTTGTTTTCCTTCGCCTGTTGAGTTAGCGGTACTATAGTTTGCCTTATTTCTTGTTGTGTTTCTTCACTGATTCCGGAAGTTTTGAGTGATGACTCCAGTGCTGCGAAGAATTCCAGCTTTGAGGCGTCGCTTGTATTGTAGTTTAATCCTTTTTGGAGTAGGTGTTCTTCCGTATTTGTTAGTGGTTGTTTTGACAAATTGATCACGCAGTTGTTTGTGTTTTCTTCCATGGGTGGTTTTGAGATCTTGATCAGTTTTTTCTTTAAGGCGTTTCTTCTTTGTTCTCTGTGTCGTTTGCATGATATCTCGATGGCTGTTGTCAAGATTTCCAAGTGTTCTGACGTAAGTGTCCTTTGTAGCTTCATCTTTTGGTCCTCTATGACGTGTTGGTATTTGCGGATTCTGTAGTGTGCATCCGTTATCATTAGGTGTACCATTTTTCTTCCACTTTGCTCAGCTATTTTCCATCCTAATGGGCAGTTGATTGGAGGTCTATATCTTACACTTGTTGGTAGAACATGCTGGCGAAGACACTCATGGAGAAAATATAGTTGTTCTCGAGTGGAAGCCTGCCTTTTAGCGAAATTCTCCCATTTTCGAACAACGAGAAGCGTATTACGCTCATATGATTTTGAGATGGTGGAGAAGATTTGTAGCTCAGGTGGATGATTTTGGTGGAGTTTTGTTCTCTGAGCTGGATGGTTTGGTCGTGGAGCTTTCATCGTTCTTCTGAACGACATCATCAGCACAAACTTCAGATAGAAGTGAAGTGTTTGAATTTCTCCATATGTGTCTCAAAGCTTGTTCTGTGCACCTCGACGTTGATTGGTTCTTATTGACCTTAAATTTGTCGTTGTTTACTTCTTTGTTTTGGTTGTGTCTCCCATTGTTTTGATTTTTGTTCTTATGTTTGTGCATGATTTTTCTGATTGGTTGATAAATTGGATTGATTTCCACCATCTCCATCTTATAAGTGCTTTTTGTACTTGTTTGGATAGCATCACTGAAACTCCTTGTGTGGGTGAACCGTTTTCTTCTTCATGGCCGGAGTATAACAGGAACTCTCCTGAGGCTAGTCTCTGTTGTCCAACCTGCGTCCAATGTATTTCACTGATTTCGAGCACCTTCATTTCGTATCCCCTCATTTCTGCAGCAGTTTGGAAGACTCTGTCTGTCTCCCACATTGTACGAGCATTTCATGTACCTAAATTAATGGTTGCTCTGGTTGTCAGATAATAATACAAAAATATATGAATAAAATTAACATAGACACTATTGTTTTCCCTTCTAATCTGTAGAATTAAGTGCCTAACGAATATAATCGCAATAACCCCAAATGTTCGGTACGGACAAGGGTGGGGAGAGTCAGCTCTCCCTCTCGAAATCCTCTCACTTGGCCACGTGTGTACAGGCACTGACAGGGAGGTACTACTCACTACCTTTTCGTGACGGGGGTGGTGTTTACGAAATCGAGAAGACGAAAAGCGAATGTCCAGTGCTTTAACCGGGTCGGTGGATACGGAGGATCCATCTATGGGAGTTGGAAAATCCTGATTCAAAACTAATGGTGTATATGGGCTCCAGTATCCTGAAGGAACAAAATGTGTATGAACCTATTTTTGGTCACAGGCTACTATGTGACTGAACCTCCCAACGTTGCTTAACTCTCTTGTGGATTAAACCTTTTGGTCAAAGGGTCAGGTTGTAGTTCTCTAAGAAAACCACCTGGTTCGGTCTGGGAACCCAGGCAGTATCATAGTCCACAAATAAATCAAGTGACTTTTGTGGCGCATATCTATTCGGTGCCTCCTTATACCAATGTTGTGTTTAAATAAAGAATTCATTGAGTATACTTTGATCATTTTGTGTCATTGAATAAAAATAAAGCGAAGGAAATTTTCTCTTTTCAACAAAATCATTTACTTACATTGGTATTTATAATATGTAAGTTTATAGAAGGATAGAAAAGGTTACATCATAAAGTGATTCGAGACTTTAATTATCAAATGAGGTCATGTAATAATCAAGGGATTAGATAAGATTAGAAGGATGAAAATAATTTACGGGTCAGGATTATGAAAGATAATTGTTCACTTGATAGAGATGAAGAAAATCCAAAAAATATAAAGGTCATCATTAAAGGTTAAGTAAATGATTTCGAAGAAAAGAGAGAATTTTCTTTGCTGAATTCTCTTTATTTATATTCAGTGACGTAATGGGTTATTTTAGTTATAACAGTTGGATTGATCTAAGCTAGACAACTACTGAAAATCTGGAAGTTCTGGTCTGCCATTTCATCACAGTATGGGACTCCTTAGCAGAGCGCATCCACGATCCCGCACAAGAGGCCTAAACCCAGGACCTTCGGTCTGGCACACAAACACTTAACCTCTATACCACTGAGCCGGAACCCAACGGTGTTAATGTTAAACTTCAATCCATTTATAATGGGGATTTGTGGTGATTATAATAAACTTAATAGCTGAATTCATGAGTCAATTTAAGCTAGACCACCATTGAAAACCTGGAAGTTATACTTGGGTGCGAGTTTCAAGTGCGAGATCATGGTTTCGCACTGCTGAAGAGCCCCATAATAGGACGAGATGGCCGTCCAGTGCTTCCAGGCTTTTGATGTTAGTCAGTCTTAAATTGACTCATGCATCCAACTGTTAAAATTACTACAATTTTCATAAGTCCCCGTTCTGATAATTGGGTACCCACTAGTGACTAGCTTCAAAATGGATTTCCTGGATATCTAGTGAGAAACCGTAATCGATGGAGTCCAATTTGTGTCGGATGAAGATGGTTATTTACTTCAGACAATGCAGAAGGGTTGCGCAAAGTCAAAGAATGTAATTTTGATATTTAATTGGTTAGCTTTTACAAATTAACTTCAAATTCATCGAAAATCGTTGATTGCCTAAAATCTATTTTCTTTAAAATACAATGATCGTGAAGAGAACTCAATATCTTAGGCTCCTTTCTACTGTAGTATTTTAAATTCAAACGATATATATATTGGATATCTTTGTCAGTTGGAAATAAGTGGTCATTACAAATCTAAAGATTCTTTGTTATATCTAGAGCTTAGATTCTTGATATACCGCGTACAACTTGAGCACTCAAACGCTAGAATACTCCAAGTCACAAAATGACAAGATAGAAGACGAGTGAGAAGGAATATTATTTCAACAGTGTCAAATATGGTACAAAACTCTCAGGTATCTATAGTTTTTAGTAAAAGTAAAATCATTAATGTCATCCAATTCGCATACAAGAATTTTTAGCATTTCTCCAATAGGGAAACTACACGTAGAGATTCTAGAATGTTCTTCCATAAGATGATTGGATGTAATATCTTTGGCTCTTTCTGAGCTTCCTCGAGTTCACCGGTCGGCTGTCCTCACATTCTTGAAATCATCCTCATCAAAAGTATTATCCAGATTTTTACAACATCGTATTTCAGAATATTATGACTCAAATAACGTCATTGACTAATAATTTATTTCATATATCCACGTTGGATGCTGGCTCAGTGGTCAAGTGGTTAAACACTCACGGGCGAGATTGATATGTCCTGGGTTCAAATCTCGCGAGGCGGGATCGCGGATGCGCACCGCTGAGGAGTCCTACAATAGGACGAAATGGCGGTCCAGGTTTTCCATGGTGGTCTAGTTTCAATTGACTCATGATCTCAATTATCAAAAATATACAAAGTATTAATTAATATTGTGATCCAGAGCTTATTACTTGTAAGTTCTACAATTCTACTGTTTTTAGTCGTTACTTAATTCAAAAATCTGATTCCTCTATTTGTCTTCCATGAGATTTCTGGAAGGTGAGTACTTCTTATCGATCTAACAAACTTACAAGTTTCATGTACACCTCAGTGCTATGATTTAATACTAACTTCTAGGCTGCCTAATCTGTCTCTATCCAACAATTGCAGTCCTAAACATCAATCGGAAGAATCAAGTAAACAATACGAAGTGAATTTCAACTTGACTACATTGCATAAGCAAGTGGCTATCAGGACTCAGTGGATAACACGATGGTGTTTGAAGCGAACGTTACTGTATTCCAGTCCTTGAGTGAATATCAAGTGTAGGATGCAGGTACATCCAGCTGATGAATCCTAAATAGAATGAAACGTGTGTCAAACTCGATTTGACTGCTAACCACTATCCATCTTTGCTTATAAAAAGACTATTTTGTCTCTATCAGTTTTGTATTATTTTCATATTTATGTATAGTTAGTCTAATTTTGTGTTTAAATATTAAGCAATATCCATAAGAACGGTTATATACATCTCTTAAATGATAATCTATGAAGACAACATGTAATCATTATTGTTAAACATTAGTTACAGAAGAGTAGTTATTCTGTTTAGGGGATTACAAACATCTAGTTGTCAATTATTTGTTTGACGTCTAGAATAGTAAATCAATGATCAGATCGAACGATCAATTTAAGAAGGTAGTGATTATGAATGTAAACCTTTTCACATTTGAAGATAATTTTTTTAACGGATTTATAACGAATAATCAAGAAATTGTTGGGGAGATCCAGAAAACTCCTCGAAAAGAAGCCGAAAAAAGCTCTGAAACATCTTATCTAACCAACATTCAATAAACTTTTTGCCAGAAACATTTAAAAAGTGAAAAGTCACATAACACGTTTCTGATTAGGATGATTTTCTATACTGCATTTCAGATTTTTCCGGAAGCCTAAGATCATCCAAACTACTACATAAATGAACCTTTGAAGTAAAGCATTTTCTGCCATATTTCGCATCTCTTCACTCATGTTCAAGTCGCTGTATAGATTTGGCCATTGTTTATTTATTTATTTATTTATTTTAACACATAGATACTGGTACAAGGAGGCACCAAATACATATGCGCCACAAAAATCTCATTTGATATGTGCGAGGGCTGTGATACTGACCGGGTGCCCAAACCGAAGCAGGTGGTTTTCTTAATGGGCCACACCCCGAGCCTTTGGCCTGAAGGTCTGATCCACAAGGCAGTCCCGTGGAATCCGGTGACCAACAATTAGTTCATACGCCATTTGTTCCCGCAGGATAGTGGAGCTCATGTGCACCATTGGTTTGGAATCCGGTTAAAGCGCCGGACATTCGATTTTCGTCCACTCATTTTCGTAAACAACACCCCCACCACGAGAAGGCAGTGAGTAGGACTTCCCTGGCAGAGGCTATATACGCTTGGCCATGTGAGAGTATCTCGAGAGGGAGAGCGGACTCTCCCCACTCTCGGCCGTATCAGGGCATTTGGCCCTTGAGATGGGGAGGATCACTAGAATAGCTTAGGAAACTGAATCTAAGCATTCAATTAGAAAACTTATCATAAATAGATTGAAATAAGAAAACAAAACAATCGTAATGTTTTTTTTCTTTAATTACATTTCAATTATTGCACATAGATATACTTTGTAATGGAGCATAAACTCTTATATATGAATATGTATATGTATATAGATAGATAAATTGCATAGTAACACATAAATCAATGGCGTTAGCAACATATTGACAATTGTATGTAGAAAGAGAAGAAAAAATTTTTTCCTTCATCTTTATTTATCGAATCCATTCATATAAACAAACAATACAATAAGTATTATTATTATATGTCCAATATTATTCTGTAAACAATACTGATGATAAGTAAGAGTTATTATGATCTAATCAGTTGGTATAGATTTCATATGTTCATAAATTGATCGTTTACCCATACGCATATTACGTAATCCACGTTTATGATAATCTGGATATCTTCTTGCATAAGCCATTTGATAATCATAATTTGGATATCTTTGCCATGTATCATAATCATCTACTTCTGTAAAACCGATTGTATTTTGAAAGTGTACACCTTTAAATAAAAAAAAAACAATCATATATTGGATAGATGAATATATGTGATTAGACATGTATATTAAACATAATTTGTTGTAAGCTAGACTACCACTATTGAAAATCTAGAAGCAGTGGAGAGCCTTTTCGTCTTAGTACGGGACTCCTTAACAGTGTCTATCCACTTGAGAGTCGAACCAAGAACATTTATTCTCATTTATGAACGCTCAACCACTGAGTCGGTATCCAACAGTGTAATTGTCTATCTTTAACCAATCTTTGTTGGTTATGAACAGCTATTTACCACAAGCAATAGATGGAGATTCGCTTGAGAAACTAGACGTCAACAACATGATATGCCAGCTTAAGGGTCCAGAGTTCGAGTCCCACTTTCGGAGTCGTGAATGCGCACTACTGTGTTCTATTCTAGGACAAGAAAGCCATAAATTGCTTCCAGGTTTCCAATGGTAGTCTAGCTCTAGATTGCGTGTCCAGAACAATGTATTGCAACAAATTGATTTGATTTCACTAATTGCAAAACATGAAGGTCTTTGATTCAATCCCATATTTAGTTGTACAGTTTGTATTTCTGAATAATCTGAACAACAAAAAAATAGACAACAGATATCACTGAAAACAATTGCATAGTAGTTTTATACAATTGGAATTTACTAAAATTGTAATTATGGACTATCGAATGCTAACTCAGTAATCTCAAACGATCAAAATATCAATGTAGGTTTTGAATAGGTAATTCAGTTGAATTATGTATGAAGAGGCTTTAATCTAGTATGAATCAATTGTCTAATAATTCATTTCTTCTTTATACAGAAGTGATGGGACTTGGCTATCAGTGGAATCCTTCTCTGCTGGATATACCTGCATCCCAAATTTTATGTCTACACAGTAATAATCCAAACCATTATAAATTCAATTAAAATTCATACATGTTGCACAAATGAATAGTTACTTGGACTCAGTAGCTAAGTGAATAGTACGTTAGCGTTTGAATAAAAGGTATTGAGTTCGAATCTAGTAGTGAACATCAACAATGGAATGAAGTTACATCTAGTTGACAAGGACGAAATGCTCATACTGAATTCCACCGCTAGCCACATTCCATCGATTCTATGTAAACTTGTATCATAATATGCAAAGATGGATAGTGGCTAGCAGTGGAATCCAGGATACGTGTTTCGTCCTATTTGGGACTCGTCAGCTGGATGTACCTGCATCCCACAGTTGATGTTCACTCCATGACTCTAACCCAGTACCGTTCGTTTCAAACGCCATCGTATTATCCACTTACTTACTGACTCCTGATAGTCACTCACTTGTGAATTTGTATCATAATAATCATAATTATCAGCATAGTCAACTATGACGAGTCAAAATATCCAAATCACTACAAATTCAATTGATATTTAGTTTATTCATGAAAACGAACTCTTTCAAGTAAGTGAATTTAGACTTCAACATCCAGCTCAGAGAACAAAACTTCACCAAACATACTTCACCACATTGCACAAGCAAGTGACTATTAGAACTAAGTAACTAAGTGGATAATGCGATGGTGTTTGAAGTGAACGGTGCTGGGTTCGAGTCATGGAATGAACATCAACTCTGAGGTGGAAGTACATCCAGGTGACATGTTACAAACAAGACGATACGCGCATTCTGGATTCCATACATCTTTGTTTACAAGAAGATATAGCTATACACAGATGCTTTATTCTGATTTATTGATTAGATTATTTTCAATAAACTAAAATGATTTCTTTAAACTGTCACTATAATAGAACAAACAAATTCAATCATAGATCATGAAAGAAATCATAATAATAATCAACAGGATTAAATGATCAAGTTTCCTTGTTTATCATTTAATGATGATGATGATGATGATGATGTGATCTGTTTATTTTGTTTATCAATGTGTCCATTTGTCTCTAAACATTCCTCATTCGATTTTACATTTTATTGCATAGATCAACAACTAAACAATCAAACAACCAAACATTGTAAACAGATATCTTATTATCCATTATAGGAATGTCATACTTCATAAATGAAGTTATAGATTAATCAGGATAAATAGTGAGATGGGAATGAAACAACTAAATGAGGGGTAGGGGGTGGGGTGGGATGGGAAATGATATGTTAATCCAATGTGAAATTATCATTATAATTTGGGTGTTGTCTTATTTATTAATGAAACACATATACTACTTATATACGTGTATGGATGTATTTTGTGCATTACTTTGATACATTACAATATGCTTTCCAAACTATGACAAGACTTATTTACTCTCAATTCATATAATAAACTTAATAGGAAACAAAAAAAACAACCCCAGTGATTATTTTTATTATGAATGAAATAAAACTATTCAGTAAAATTGAAGAAGGTTAATGTGATTAAGGTGAGTTCCAACTTTGGATTGACTATATATGAAACACTATTGAACACTGTAAGTTATTTTGAACCTTTCAATAATGTGTTCGAAGCTTAGAATCTTCGGATTTCATATCTAGAATAACAACTTGAAACCAATACATTTACATTTTTGTAAATCACCAAGTCAAACTAGTGAAGGTAATCCATGTCAGGTAGAGATAGGTATGTACCTTAGTACAATGGAAGATGGTCGGAGGTTCGGAGGTTAGCTGTTGGATGGATCAAGTTTGCTGGGTTCGAATCTCGTGAGCAGGATCGTAGATATACACTGCTGAAGAGTCCTATACTAGGACGAAATAACTGTTCAATGTGTCCAGGTTTTCCATCGTGGTCTAATACTAATCTACCCATGATCTCAACCAAAAGCCTAATAATCTCCACAACTCCATGCTGATATAAAGACACTATCAAAATATTAAAACCGGAGAAATTGTAGTTAACACATTAAAGCCATTGCACTCTTACAGGTTTTATTATTTCATTGACGAAATACTCTTCATGCTTATAGATAACTTCTTTATTAACTTGAAAGTACATTTTTGAGTTGGTTGTTTGAATCTTCTCAGTGATGTATAGGACTGCAATTAATCAGTTGCTTATTGGCATATGTAGATTCCGTGCGAATCGCCTCGATATGGCCTTAAATTACAAGCATTATAGACAAATGGTCGTGCAGTTCCGTTGATTAGTTGAAGTTAGACATTAACATCGATGGATATTGACTCAGTGGTATATAGAGATTAAGTGTTTGCTCGTTAGACCAAAATTCTGGGTCGGAGTCCCGTATACGAGATAGTGGATGCACATTGCTGAGGAGCCCCAGTCTAGGACAAAACAACCATTCAGTACTTCCAGACTTTCCATGGTGATCCAGCTTTAATCGACTCATAAATTCAAATATATTTGTTATCTATTAACCACTCTTTCATACACTTTTTATTCTACTTATATTTTATGAATTCTTAAGGGAAAACACATCCGCACAGTATAGTACAATGTAGTTTTTTTTCTTTTATAATGTCAATCTAATATTCAGAGAATCGAATAGTTCATTTCCATGTACTAATGAAATTCCTAAGGGAAACTAAACTTTACTTTCAATTAACTAACTAACTAGTCATATCGTCGGGATTCTTTCTTTTGAAGGGGGTGGATCTTCTCAATAAAACGTTGTTTATTCTCCTATATTCGCCTTTTTTTTCCCCCTTTTTCTTCATTTTGTCTCTATGGTATTTATTTATTATTCAAAGTATATATATGAAATATTATCATAAAACATAATGAATATTAAAAAAGAAATCATGTTTCGATAATTTTCTGATATTCAATATATGTACGTAAATTGTAGATTTCAATTTGGTTCAAGTCCATTTTTTATACAAGAAACATGAGGAAATTACTGTCTCTATGTATGAAATGTGGGAGAGAGAGAGAGGGAGAGAGAGATAGAAACAGAAAAAAGAGAGAGAGACATACCGAATTATATGACACTTAATTATTATTTCAATTCCTTTTTATTTTTTTTAAATTCACTAATTTAAAACGCATTTTACTGTTCATCTTTTCATAGTGAAAAGTTTCATGATTGAAGTATTTCGATGTGTGTGTGTGTGTGTGTGTGTAGGGTGGGTGGGTGTTTGGTGGTGGTGGTAGTGGTGGGGTTAAGAATTGTGTATTTTGAGCAATTTTCTTGTAAAATTATTTTTCTCATGACTACAAAAAAGAAACACCCAGAGATTTTGTAGTAATTAGATTATTCACTCATGTATATATACATACCCAAATACCTACATACATATACAGATACATACATTTAGAATCCATTAAAGTTGAGTTGAAATATTTGTCAAATTTTTAGACATACCCTAAGTTGGGTAAAGTAATTGATGAACATTGTGAAATTTACTAAAAAAGTAATTTTATACTCAAGAATAAGATTTTGTGAATATTTTAGTAATTCTTTTTTAATAGTTGAATTCATGAGAAATTTGAAAGTATTGGACAGTTGTTTGGTGCTAGTATGAGTGAGTTTCTTCAACAGTGTGCATCTATAATCTTACACATGAGATTCGAACCTAGGATCTTCAGTCTGCCTCCTGAGAGAACGCTTAACCTCTAGATTACTAAGCCTGTATCCAACAGTGTTAATGTCTGACTTCAACCAATCCACTGAGTACTCTTGAGAAGTTCCATACTAGGACGAAATGGTCATCCAGTACTTCCAGGTTTTCTATCATGGTCTAACTTTAATCGACTCATGAATTCAACTGTTAAGAAGTAATTTTATATTGCAAATTCTACACAAACTCCTTACATTTTAGATAATTCTTTCTAAGGTGTTAATTAAGAGCTGTGATTGATGAAGTTTAGTTATATAAATGGCCACGTATATATAGCCCATGCTAGGGAAGTCCTACTCACTGTCTTCCTGCAAAATCGCGAGGACGAAAAGCGAATCTTCAGCGGTGTAACCGCGTTGGTTGTAAATGAGAATCCATCTAGGGGAGTTGGAAAACCCTAATTCCAAACCACATGTGCTTCAGGATCTTGAGAGAAAA